CGAGGACAAACTTGAGCGTTTTCCCGATAGAGGCGCTGACCAAACTCTGAAATTAGTTTAGCCTTTCAACGCTAGGCAGCAACACTATCCATTTTCCTCACGAATAATTCAAAAATTTGAATTTTACATATCGACAAACAAATAACAATTCATGTACTTTTTTTTATTAAATTATTATAGCAGTAGTTACAGCTACAGTATTCTTACGCTGCAGGTACAGTACTTTTTAATAATAAAATGACAACAATTATCATCGATTAGATGTAGTAGTTGTATATGAATCATTTAACATTTGGATCCACCAAGCTACCAAAGATTTTCTCAAACTCTCGAGCGACTGCGAAGCAGAGATGATCCTGATTTTTTGTAGCTATTACCTGAACACGCAATGTTTCACATTCAATAATAATTTTAATCGAGTAGTACACTAATTGTGACAATTTTCATGCGATGCATCATTGGCTGATGGCACTGAATTCAATCCCATTCGAATGTGAGTCGATGGCAGAAGCATTATATTGGCGAACGCAGTGTACATGCAGCTGTTCAATTGAAAGAATATCGATCCTGGATATTCAATATTGACATAATGTCGACGATAAAATTTGTTTAAATTAAAAGAGAAATCTAAATACAGGGTTGAACAAAAAATTGGGCTATAGATCCATTGTGTTTTACTTTATTTACAAAAAAGAAGTCATAATACAGCAATTTTCGTTGATGATATATACGATATAATTTTGATTTCATGATTATTGGTCCTGTAAACCCTTTTTGCCTTCGAATCGTAAATGTTTATACAAATATTTGATTGTATTCAAAACAATCAATACATTAGGAGAAGGTATAGTCGTAGATTAGGATTCCAATAGGTTTAGGAACGTTTGTTAACACGAAAGGATACAGAGGTGGGGAAAATTCTATTCGAATAGTAGATTACGAATAAAAGCAATGTTTACTAAAAAATGACATTAGAAAACTATTATTTATTCATCGTGAAGTATTTGATTTAAAATATAAATAACGATATCACGAAACAAAATTTTCATTGAGATTTGTACCATCGCGTTGGTATTGCGAGTCAGCCTTAAATAACGTTCAAGCAACGCCATTTTGCTGGTAGTCTTGTAGAGCGTGGTCTCGAGTGAGCGTTTACTGTCAATTACAATTAATTTTGTAATTTTTTCTAATTCCTGGTGTAGTACTGAGAACTTGTAAGTATCTGCGAAATATCTGCGTTTCAAAGAATATGAAAATTTTACTAGCAGAAAGTTTCTAATAATATATCAGCGATATTATAGATTCTCCTATAATGGGGCATTTTTTTTACTCCGAATTTTCGTTCTATTGTATTCGAACTTTCACATTCTTCGCAAATGTAAATCATAGACCTTTAATAACAATAAATCGAAAGATATTCGTATCGTATTTCTTTTTATCTGAAATTACTGTCTGTCTATGACCTTCAGATTTTCGAGCAGCTGTTTTTTTTAAACATATTTTAACAAACAAAGTTATCTATGTCCATTTGCAGTGGAGCAAGGTTTAAAGAAATCGAATAGATAATAAATAATAGTCACTGAATAGTGCTAATTTCCTGGTATTTTATGATTTAAAGAAACCGATTAGAGTATATTTGCATTATTTGTAATACAGTTTCTTTTAGATTAGAGTCATGTCGAAGGATAGCGGAGATCATGACGACGACGGCTTTGTTGTCAAATTACGTGGACTTCCATGGTCCACCACAGTTGACGAAATTATGAAATTCTTCGGGGACTGTAATATTTTGAATGGGAAAAATGGAGTTCACATGACTATGTCGCGAGAAGGCCGCCCTAGCGGAGAGGCTTACGTAGAAATGGACACACCCGAGGATATCCAGAAGGCTTGCAAGAGGGATAGAGATCACATGGGTCATCGTTACATAGAAGGTAAGTTAAAAGATAATTAATTAAAGAAAGCAAAATTATTCGTTAACGACGATTCATTTTTCAGTCTTTAAAGCAAAAAGGGGTGAAATGGAGTGGGTAGTCAAGAGAAGTGGTTTAAACTTAGAAAATGCTATGGACGATGGTTGTGTGAGATTGCGTGGCCTGCCGTTCGGATGTTCCAAAGAAGAAATAGCACAATTCTTCTCAGGTATTTTATACAACATACATGAGTTTGTATTACTAGCTATTTTTACTATAATACATTATTAGAAATTCACTTTAACCCTGTTAGAACCAACGTATCCTTATTCTTTTGATCAAGTTATATCCCTCTTGTATGATTTTCATTAATTAAAAGAGTAATCTTGAATCACAGGGGCCGAATGCTTGCGATGGCATAGTACCTAAAATCACGTTATTAATACAATCTTCTGAAAGATAAGGTGCAACGCGCACGATAACTCAATTATAATTTTTACGAACGCGTAATATTTTCGAATTAGAGAAGCAATGTTATATCCATTTTAAGCACCGCCCTTGTGTTTCGTAATTATCGAACAGCCTGAGTTAAGATTTAAGATTGGAGGCTTAAAAGTTCCTATGCTTTTAGGACTGAATGACTGAATGACTTTCTTCATTATGATTTACATGTGCCTTATATTTTATTTTCAATATTCACCTTTGCGTTTTCGAAAGGCAGAACTTAATTCTTAACTTCGGCGATAGTAAAACTTTTGTTGAATTTGTTTAAAAGAAAATACATTATTGGAGCGAGACGTTTTGCACGTAATGTGCAAAGGATATTGAAATCTTGCTTCTTTGTAAGGGTTTTAATAAACTGACGATACTTTAATTAATAATGGGTGTTACGTTACAATGTCGATGTTTGATTATGTGTGGGTCAGGGTTGGAGATATTGCCGAACGGGATTTCACTACCGACAGACTACACGGGCCGCAGTACTGGGGAGGCTTACGTTCAATTTGTTAACAAAGATGTTGCGGAGCGCGCTCTGCAGAAACACAAGGAAAAGATAGGACACAGGTGGGGCACTGACGCTAGCTGGGTTTGGGTATACTTATGACTTTTCAATATCATTTTATGATCGTAGTACATGTAGGTATATGAATTTTGTTAGTAAAATAGCGGGAACAAGTTATTTAAACAGATGCAGTTTCTTTATTACCTTTTTTAACGAACGTTGTGATGAATGTTGTTCTTGAAATTTATATTCTATGAATTACATCGCTAAATGTTCGTTTAACTTGATGATTGGATTCATTAGAATAAATAGTTTGATAACGTTTGAGCAGCATTAACGCGAGTTGAGTAGCGTAAAGAAACTGCTTCCCTCCGAACAGATATGAGAAAGTTAGTCGTACGTAAGCGAAAGTACTGTTGGCCCAACTGAAACCTGTGGGTGGGTGCCGGGCGGGAGGTACCCCCTTACATCGTCACCAAATCCCATGGGAGGTGGGTTAGGGCTAACCCAGGATGGGTGGGCGCTACAGAGGTAGTAATCATCGATCTAATTTGGCACAACTGTTTGACAATTGCACAATTGTACGTTTTATGCAAGAGATAGGAATTAATTCAAGTTCGAAGGCTTTGCACAGTTCCAGTAAATTTACTAGAAACATATAATATTTATATTTATTATTATGGTAGTACAAAATGGTAGTACTAACTCCAACATATTCTAGCTTTCACAGAGAGATGATTAAATTTTTCAATTTCATGTCATTTCTTTTAGTCGTATCGCTTCTCGATATCGACGTGTTCTTCCTTTTCTTTCTATTGAAACGCATAAAGTGCAATTGTAATTGTCATATACCTGAGGATCATCAGCGTCTCGCAAGCTAGGGTGACATAAGTACTTCAGAATGCAATGTCACCGAGGGAGGGTATCTACAGAGGTTTAATAAATTCGTGGAGGTGTAGTATGAACAGTTAATCTGTTACAAACTCTTCAATATGGATTTTTCTTCGAATCATTTCTTTTTTTACGATGTAATCAAATTATTCCTGCTAATGCGCAGAAATTTCATTTCGGATTCGTGGTTCCCACTTGTATATCTCTCTTCGTTTGTAAAAGTCTGAACTTGTGCACATTTATACTTTTCCATCGAACTTTCCAAGTCGAAGGCAGCCGATTATAAACGGCAGTAATATCGATAACTAAATAATAACGATTCATTAACGATCTTGACAGGTACATCGAAATCTTCCGAAGCAGTTTGTCCGAAGTACACGGTAGTATCGGGCCAAAAATGAGAGGTGGGCCAATGGGTGGCTTTAATCAAAGACCAGCTCCCTATGATCGGGGTGCTCGTTTCGGCGGGATGAACCGTTTCAGTAATAACGGTAGAGGTTCTAGAAACAGAGGTAATAACTGTTTATAAATCCATGTTTTCAACGCGTTGATCGCTATGTCACTCGTATACAAAATTCTGAACATCAGGCGTTAAATTCAATTGTATAAGAACAAAATTGTAGCTTCCCAAGTATTTTCATCGGTATGTCTAACACCGAGGATGTTAAGGAGGCAGAATATCTTATCGTATTGACTTCTATCTAACGCGTGCATAGATTTTGACGGTGGTCCCTGGGGAAGTGGTAACAACTTCGATTCGCGTGGAGGCAGCATGGGTATGCGTGGTGGCATGGATATGAAGGGTGGAAACTTCAGAGGCAGCGGTGATACGTGGGGTGGCAATTCCGGCATTCATAGTATTCACATGCGCGGATTGCCATTCAAAGCTACGGAACAAGATATCGCTGACGTAAGCCCTCAAAGAAACTAATATATAATTATTAATGAAATTATCGTTATCACAGTTATTCTTTTTCTCTAGTTCTTTAGACCTATCGAACCGGTGAATGTTCGAATCATTCTCGAGAATGGTGGTCGTCCTTCTGGAGAAGCAGACGTAGAATTTGCTACCCACGAGGAGGCTGTTAAAGCCATGTCTAAGGTTCGTTTGTCTAAATCGTTACTTCAATTCTTATCCTTCGACCTGTCTTTATTGTTGGGATAATCTGTTGCAGGATAAGAGTCACATGTCCCATAGGTATATCGAATTATTCCTTAATTCAACTGGTGGCGGTGGTGGTGGCGGCGGTGGTTCAAGCGGTGGAATGTCATTGGGTGGTATTGGAAATTTCTGCGGAGGTATGCTTTTTTTAAAACATTTTCTTATCGTTTAAACCTTTTATTTGTTATAAATACTAAGATCTTTTATACTGCTAGGTCTAGGTAATAACTTCAGGCCAGGATACTCTCCAAACAGAGGTTTCAGCACTCAGCTAGGGGGAAATAATTATAATAGTTTTTGAGGCCGGATGTCGCGTTTCTTACGCTATCGACGATAAAGTGTTTCGTGAATCAAATTTTTATCACAATGACTTATATAGTTGCAATGAAGTTTCATTTTTATTTTGTATCTAATTAGAAATTGGTTGATACCACTTCTACGCTACGATTTATTAAGCGCATATATAATTAAACAGAACATATAATTTATGTTTCAGTTCTGATAATGCTTGAAGTGTTATCGTTAAAGGTTTGATTAATTCATTCGTTCCAAAAGAGAAAACTGGAATCGTCGCGATTATCGTATTTCATTTTGTTTTTGTTTCCATTTTATTCTTGCAAAAACTTTGAATGTTCATATGAAATTACGAATAATTTTCTAACGCATTGGAATGACATACATTTCAGTAGTGTAAACAACTACGTAAAAGACAATTTATATTTTTAAAATTTATTAGAATAATTCAGCTTTACCGTATAAAAGTCTTATAAAAATTATTCAATTTTTGACCTCTTCTTTTATTTTTTATACATACCGCTTCGATGCATTGTACATCTGCTATTTCATTAAAACCTCACAAAAAGTGTTCCAAATTCCAACGATAAAGTAAGCATACTTATAAATTATGTAGCAACAGCTTCCTCAAGTTATTAGCAGATCTAGGAATAATGCGTTTTCATTCGTTCGGTCTGTAGTTTATAGCGAGTGCAAACAATCGTCAACAATCACTTCATACTGTAACATATTTATCTGAATAATAATTCACAGTTATATTTACATAGTTTACGTTAATCTTATTCGAATACGATTCGTTTGAAAAAAAAATATGCGAAAACTTAGAATAAGATCTACGATAAAGAATACGTTACAGAAATTGATTCAATATGTATTAAAGTCCTGTTGTATGTTATTCCACTCTTGGCATTTACGAACGATACATATATCCGCTTTTGAACGAGTCAATTTTTCTTGTAACGTTCTTAGCTCTATCTCTTTAAAGAGTATCAACTTTAAAAGATACATGTAATACTTCACTGTGTATAAGTGAACAGAAGATAAAATACTCCTTTATCTTTCATTGTGAAAATGAATGTAAACAATGTGGGAATGCTTGTATTTGTTTAGGACCTTATATTTTGTACGAAAGAGGAACCTATCTGCGAAAGATACAGTGTATCCTTATAAATTAACTTGTATATGAAATTAATAGGAATGGTGTATGTTTGATGTGACTTGTGTTTTATAAAATATAATAATAAATATTATCTTCATAATTAAATAGCGCCTATTACTCTTCCTCTCCCTTGATTAAACTATTCTGTGTGTAAAGTGTTCAAAATAAGAATTATCTATTTAATTCTTGTTAATAAAAATAGTTGTAATTTGAATTATTTTTCGGTATAATCAGCCTTTGATGACCTCGAATAACCCCTAACCAAAGATCATTGTACGTTCCTCAAAATACTCTATGAAAAATTAAGTAAAACAAACATATCGTTCTATTTGAAAAAAGAAAGTTGACCTTTGCATCTTGACTGTACTTTTACTTAGAAAAAAGTTATCAACTTCAGATTGTATGTTTCTATACGTCCCCCTTGAATCAAAGCAAGGACCAAGCAAAACAAAACAAGGTCTCTTTTTTTTATCATATGTCTATGTCAAAACCAGACATGTCAGCTGATTTGTTTTAGAAGCCTGTAGCCACCTGTACCGGTCTGAAATGGACCCTAAACATTTATATAAAACTAAATTACAAAAATCGACTAAATTTACATGGCATATTCCTCTACCAATTACATTCAGCACATTGTATGCAAATATCGTTTAACCCTTTCACTCGCTCCAACGTCAAAGAACGTAGAATGTAGTCAATAACAGATATTGTAACCAATTGAAACTTATTGAATCTGATTGAAACACAATCTCCTTTGTAAAATTACATTAACAACATTCAAATTCGTTCATGTACGAGTGTGTAGGCAAATGGCTCGATGCATAACATACAATAACATTCCAAGAGAGTGATCTTGGAGGTCGTTTGCATCACAAGAAATGTAATCAAAGTTTACAGCAAGATCAGATGCTGTACGACAATATTCGCAGTATCGATATTTATCAATGCAAAATGTAAGTAAATTTATCGTCGATGATATTACAATTAATTCTATGCCAGCAAAAATTAATTTTCATCACGACGCGTAACATTCACACCTATGGGTTTCGATGAATATAATTTCCATGTTTTTGCATATTCAATTGTCTCCATTAGATGCATTTTTCGAAATAAAGACCGAGGACGCTCGTCTCAAAATACCTCCAAGTTGTTAACAAAAGCTAGTTAATTTACAACATGCATTTGCGAATTATCAATTCACAGAGGGCAGATTAACGCGGACTTACCTCATTCTATCTATTGTTGATTAGAAAAGATTAGATTCTTTATCAGTGCTACAACGCGAGTAATGTTCATTGTGGGTGTTGAGTACACTGCACGTTATGCTCGCGAAACGTCGTGAATTATCCGAGTTTATATTTGTCCTCCTGGTTTAAACGTTGACAGCAATAAAGGTAATTATGTAGGTGAAACGAACATTAGAACTGTGGGTGTGTTACACCAGTTTTATCTCAATCATTTAACATTTTTAAAACTCTGTGTAATTAACCAAGTACACTTCTATTTGAATATGAATCTGCCTTTAAACTATCACCATTTAATCTGGTAGTTTAAGGAACAATTAAGCGAGTTAAAGAATTTATCTAATGTATTTTGTATATTATTGTTGATCTTCAGAGTCAGAACATAGTCATGGAAGGGAAGACTGATGATAGCAGTGCTACAAACGAGGAAAATGAAATCCAGTGCATCAACAGCGAAAGGTACAATATAATAGATTGTATTCGTTGAATTTGAATAACATGTCCCTCTTCCAGATATGATGATACCAACGAAAGACAGCATTTTCTGCTTCCTAATGTAAATTCACGCACACCAAAAATAGCTGTGGAGTATATTCGCAGACCTGACATGAGCCGATACAATCCAGCTCTAAAAAATCTTATACCGATCCGTCGCGAGAAAGAGTATGTCGAATAGTTTAAGTTAAAACTATGTACCATGGTAAAAATGTTATTTCATTCAGTTTTTTCACTGTAGGGACAAAGACAGTATGCCAGCGGACAGTGCTGGCTTATTTTCGTACGTTTTTTATACCTGGATAACACCGTACATATGGAAAGCATATGAAACGGGTATAAGTATACAAGACATACCGCGTATTTCATCTTACGAGACTTGCAAGTACAATGCACAAAGGTAAGTATTTTACGTTAGCGCAATTGACGATAAATTGCAATTCGAATTACCAATTTCATGATTAGATTAGAGGTACTTTGGCAAGAAGAATTAAATGAACGTGGACCACATTCGGCATCATTCTCGATTGTTGCCTGGCGATTCGTGCGAACGAGGATATGCATTGCTTGGTTCTTACTAATCTGTTCAACAATTTGCGGATTTATAAGTCCTGTATGACATCTGTTTTTTTTATGTAAATCGTTAGATTCTTTATTTTTGTGTATAAAACTCAATACCGTTTTCTGCAAGTCATGTCGATCACGTTCTTCCTTTAGATGATATTGATGAGGAAGGTATTGGAACACGTTCAATCGCCTGAAGAGGATTCGTGGGTGGGCATAAAATGGGCACTGTTGTTGACGTGTTGCGATTTCCTCAGGATGGTATTTTTCACTTGGACTTGGAACACAAATATTAGAACAGCGCTAAGATTAAAGTCTGCTTGTACTACTCTTTTGTACAAAAAACTTATGAGATTAAATAATCTTGGAAATAAAAGTACAGGAGAGGTAGGGTTCCGTAATATATAAATATTCGGTATATAAATATTAAAAAGTACTGTTATCATAGATTAGTATCCGTCATTCTTTTGTGATTTCAGTTAACTAATTTATTTACTAACGATAGCCAGAGGCTTTTCGACGTAATCATTTATGGACCTATGATAATTAGCGGTCCAATAATTATTACCTGTGGTGTAGTCTACATATTATGGTTATTTAGTCCGTTAGCCCTTTTTGGCACGTTCATTTTTCTTATATTTTATCCGTGTCAGGTGAGCAATGCATTCCTAACATACAAATCTTATCAAGCCATTTTTCTTTTAATATTTTGCGATTATAATATTACAAATTTATATTTATTTCGACAGTATCTTATTTCTCGTATAGTCGGACGTTTTCGTTCCAAGACGGTTGTCATTACAGATGTACGGGTGAAATTGATGAACGAAATCTTAGAATGTATCAAATTAATTAAGATGTGTTCATGGGAGAAATATTTTAGTAATAAACTTCTTGGTATGATTAACATTTTTACGTGACTTTCGACATAAGGTATCGTCGACTTTTGCAATCCTGTAATTTGCAATTACCGTCTTTCAGCTATACGAAAGAAGGAAGAGCACTGGTTGCACAAGACTGTATATTTTCAAAGTTTCGCTATTTCTTTAACGCCAGCTGTACCTGTGATATCAGCAATTGTTACATTTTTAGCCCATTTATCTTCTGGTGGTAACTTAACTGCCGCTCAGGTACATACTTTATTTCTAACAACTGATAAATTGTTGTCATTGTTACAGTCTAATATTCAAGGTCCAAAATTATACTATGCGAACAATTCGATATAGCTAGTTATTTAAATTTCTTCTGGAGGAATATTAGAATAAGTAATTTTAAGGGAATTACGCACTGGTTAATAGAAACGTAGAACATGCACAGATAATATTTAAATCGCCAAGAACACTTATCTCTGTAGATTTTTAACTGTTTGATTACTTGAAAAATTCGTATGAGGGACCTCAAACGGTTAAAATTATTTGCGACAAATGTTAGATTTAATAGAATATATATTGCAGGCTTTCCCACTTACAACATTTTTTGGAAATATGCTGAGAATGGCACTCGTCTCGATTAAGGACTCTACACGATATTTTATCGACGCTCGTATTGCCCTTAGCAGATTCAAGGTCTCTTGAAATTTACATTTCAATTTTAATTTAATTTCAAGGTTTCTTTTCGTTTTGTTCATGTTATGATTTGATTTACGACTCGGACTTACAAGGTGGAATTTTGTACCTATTATTAAGCAAACAAGTTCTTGTGTAGCGGGAATTAAATCTTTTTTCTTTTTCGTGAATTATTGTCGAGTCATGGCGAAAACAGATGCAACTCACATGGGAATTAGTTTATTAATAATATGTACCTGATTTTAAGTGTCGGTTTGATGCAATGGTAAGAGCTTCAAGTACAGCCGCCGGTGTAAAGGGGAAAGTACTGCATGTCGTGTAATTAATTATAAAATAATTGCTTTTTCTCTTACTCCTCCCTTTAAAAAAAATAATAATAATAATAAAAAAACGGTGTAAGAGCTAAAAAGACATTTGGGAATAATTCACTAAAATATTATTACTAATATCGCTATTTTAAATCATGATGTTGTTACTTTTCCAGGTGTTTCCTCTCGTATCATTGCTCAATTCTCAATTTCGTTCTTCTTTCATGTTTTTACAAGTGGCGTTAGTTAATATTGCAGAATCAAAAATAGTATTCAACAGATTGCAGGTGTTTATTTTTGCCTATTTTTGTTAATATCTACTAACCGTAATAATAAAAATATGGAATAATTGTACATAACGCGAACTTGCACATAATATTTGCATTAGTTACACGATTCTTGTGAAGTTCTATGTATGTTGAGTCGTCGACTTGGGTTGTAAAGCTTAAATTTGCTTTCATTGTACATTAGGATGATGCGTAACGCTTTGTAAATTAGTTCATTCTATGTTCAGCATATCTTCAGGAAATGTATTTAAACGCAACAAGACACTATTTTGATTTGTGTTCCTTCGAAATTGGTGCAATTATGTTAATGCATGTATCTGTTATGTATGTATAATTGCTGTACATAAAGCTTCGTTTACTTTGCCGGCATGCTGTACTAACACACTTTTCAGTTGCTGTTTTGGAACAAATTTGATACGTTGATGTATATAATTGAATAATACACGTGTAAATAAATTATACGCTTAATAAGTTATTAGAAATTACTGCTACACCTGTTAGGATTCAACGTGTCAAATATTAAGCGATTGCATGTTTAGAAAAGACTATGTTTGAAACTATTTTACGAGAAGTGCATTGATTTGAATGATATATTATTTTCATACCACTTAGCTTCTATGTCCACGGCTAATAGTTATTGATATTTGTGCAGAGTGTATTGCTTTTAGAAGAATTCACATGCTATTTATCGAAACCAATAGTGAAATCACAAGCCATAGCCATTACTAATGGTACATTTGTTTACGAAAATCTTACCATATGTGCTAATGAGTCAAAAAACATCGAAAATAAGTGAGTTTCTCTGATACCAAATTCTACTATTATTTTCTAATACTCGGTTAAATATCGTTAACCACACTGTTCTAGAAAAATCTTGTCTAACGTGAAGAACAAAGTCGAATTGGAGAAACTGAATGAGATATCTAACGAAACCCAATACGTGAAAGTACTTGCTGATATTAAGTTTGGAGCAGCAAAGGGTGCACTGATAGGAATCTGTGGTCACGTAGGAAGCGGAAAGTCTAGTTTGTTACTTGCTGCCTTAGGGCAATTGAGGCTCACCCGTGGACATGTTTTGAGAGAAGGTTCATGCGCTTATGTTAGTCAGCAAGCATGGATCGTTAATGCAACTCTTAAAGAAAACATATTATTTGGAAACCAGTTCGATGCTAAACGATACTATCAGGCACTGACAGTCTGCAATTTAAAAGAAGACATAAACATGCTACCGGGTGGAGACGAAACTGAAATTGGTGAAAGAGGTGTAAATCTTTCGGGAGGACAGAAGCAAAGGGTTGCTCTTGCCAGAGCTCTTTATGCCAATAGGTGATAACTTCTTTCTTAGCCGAACAATAATAAATAATCCCATTTTTAAGAAACATTTACGACTGTTTTCTCTTCTTTAAGAGATATTTATTTCTTGGACGATCCGTTAAGCGCGGTTGACGCACACGTGGGATCTTACATTTTTAAGAACTTAATTCTTGGCGCGCTTAAGGATAAATGTGTCCTGTTTGTAACACATCAAGTCCAAGTATGTTTCAAATATGCTAACATGGCCAATAATCACCGTATACCGTGGTCATACTAACGATAGTTACTTTTATCTTTTATAGTTTTTGAAACATTGCGATCAAATCTATTTAATGAAGAATGGTAAAATCGTAGAACAAGGTACGCACGATGAACTTATACAGTTGAAGAAAGAATACGTTACAATGGTGAATAGCGCATTGCTCGAAAAGCACGGTGATACAAAAGAGTGCGTGTTGCACAATAAAAATTTTATAATCGTATGGTTTGATGTGTTATTCTAACTTGAGTTTACTTGTTAGGATGTCTACGGTTGCTCAAATAAAGAATAGCAATTCTGGAAGTGATTTGAAAGTACAAATCGTAGGATGTAATTTTGCAGACAATCCCGAGAATGGCGAGGCATCGATGAGAATAAAGAGAGAGGGTACGTGTCGTAGATTCATTCTACTTTGAGGTTTACAAATATTAAATCTGAACGTATCGTTTTAGGATCAGCTCTAACTACACAAGAAAAAATAGAAACTGGTACCGTGAAACTGCATACTTATCACATGTATATAAAAGCCGCAGGTGGTTATATAGTGGCTATTGTAGTATTTTTTACACTCTTCTTGAATGTTGGAAGCTCTGCGTTTAGTTCTTGGTGGCTAGCTACATGGATCAAAGCTGGTGGTGGAGTAAATATCTTTCATTTTATAATATATTTTTTGCTGTATACTTTTCTACTATACGCTTGTCCTTTGTTTTTAAGAATGTTACCAACCCCGTGACCAATGAAACTATAGTTTCAAACAATTTGAATGATAACCCAGATTTTGCGTACTATCAAAACATCTATGGTGCTTGCATCGGCGCTATATTGTTCACAAGTTTGTTGCGTGGTTTGGTTATTACGTTCACTACCATAAATGCATCCACCACGCTGCACAATAAAGTCTTTAAGAAGATGATCGAATCTTCGTTAACTTTCTTCGAAACTACTCCCAGTGGAAGAATACAAAATATTTTCAGTCGAGACATAGACGAAGGTACAGTCTATCAGATAAGTGTAAAAACAATTTCGTATACTAATCTATTTTTCTTCCTACTACAGTTGATAGTTACATACCGATATCCGTCGAAAATATGGTACAGAATATCTTTACTTGTAGCTTTGCTATTATTTTTATATGCTCGATACTGCCTTGGTTTTCTATACCATTAATTATTCTTGCTGGCATATTTTTTTACACTAGCAAAGTCTTCAGGTAAGACTAATAGATTTCCAGGATGTTAATATTTTGTGCTTCAAAATGTAGCCGAAGTTAATATATTTTAGAGTAGCAATGAGGGATCTTAAGCGAATGGAGAGCGCATCTAGATCGCCAGTTTTAAGTTTCGTGACCACCACCGTGCACGGTTTAAATACAATTCATGCATTCCAGAAAGAAAAAGCATTTACGAACAAGTATGTTATTTAAGATACCATTCGTTAAGGACGAAGATAAAAATAACGAGTTATCAAATTTCAGATTCGAGGAGTTGTTTGACTTAAACAATTTGTGTCTCTACCTGTGTCAATCAGCCATGAGGTGGTCCGCTGTGAGACTTGACAGTTTGGCAATCGCTTCCGCTTCTATTACTGCATTTCTTGTGATAGCGATCAGAGATCAAATATCACCAGCACTCGCTGGTTTGGCAATGGCATACTCCATGCAAATGACAGGTGTCTTTCAGTACACTGTAAGATTAATGGCAGAAACGGAAACACGTTTTATAAGCGTTGAAAGAATATGCTATTACTTGCGGGTAGGCAAACATTAACAAAGGGAATTAACTAACAGAGATTTCAAGTGTTCAAACAAATAATATTTTCACGTATCAGAAGTTTACAATGTCAAATCGATCAAATTATCGCTTATTCGACCACCTTCAATTATAAAATGCTCGAGTTAAATGATATATACCTTCAGACTTTACGAAATGAAGAAACTCTTGGCAAAGATGCTGAAAACCCTCCGAACGAGTGGCCCACTCATGGAAAACTAGAATTTCACGAAGTTCAGCTGAGATATAGAAAAGAGCTTCCACTTATATTAAATAATATTTCGTTTACCATTAAAGCTGGCGAGCATATAGGTAAGTGTGACTTGAGATATACGTTTGTAATTGTTAACGATTACTTTACATACAACGGAATTAATTTTAGGTATTGTGGGAAGGACAGGAGCTGGGAAAAGTTCTCTCATCGTTGCTTTGTTTCGATTAGTTGAGGCTTGTGCGGGAAAGATCAAAATTGATGGCGTGGATATAGCCAAAATAAGCTTAGAGTTACTCAGAAGTAAACTGTCCATAATTCCGCAAGATCCTGTTTTGTTTAGCGGAAGTATAAGGTAAGCGCATCCAAAGAATTAAAGATGCGACTCTAAAATTGATATTCGTAATTCTGTGTATTGCAGATCAAATTTAGATCCGTTTAATAAACACAGCGACTTGGATCTTTGGAATGCCCTAGAAAAGACTCGATTGAAAGAGAAAGTAATACTCATGTCAGGACAATTGGATGCGTTTGTCGAAGTTGGAGGAAACAACATGAGCGTCGGAGAAAGGCAGTTGCTTTGTTTAACAAGAGCACTTCTACGCAATACCAAAGTATTTATCTCGATTGATATTTATTATACTAATTGATCATTTCATTTAACGATCTTATCAAATTTCAGGTAATGATATTAGACGAGGCAACAGCTGCCGTTGATCCTGAAACTGAAGTCGCTGTGCAAAACACGATACAAAATGAATTTTCACATTGCACTGTATTAACTATAGCTCATCGTTTAAAGACCGTTGTTTCGTGCGATCGCGTTATCGTTATGAAAAATGGCCAAATAATCGAATTTGACGCACCTTCTGTACTCATGTCCAACCCAAATTCGGAATTTACAAAAATGATTGCTTCAGCAGATAAAGTTGTAAAAGACGTCTAACTCTAACAACGATATTACTAATAATAGTATTACATTTAATAAGTAAGACGTATTGACTGTAAGCTGTCAAGTAGTTGTAGTACGCTCATCTTACTAAAATTTGTCCGAAAAACAAATTAACATTACGACATATCCCACTCGAATATTAAGATATATTTTGTTAAATATATATTGTAGCTATAATGCATTTTGCTATGTACCGTGTAAAATTTGTTTGGAATAAAATTATTAACTTATATATTCACATATTTTGTAATTTATTATAGTAGGACCCTGACAATCAATAATAAGTAATAACGCGTTTGAAAAAGCATTAAAGAGCGCGCGTCCGTTGGAGATTTCAAATATTGATTTGTTCGTGACAAAGCAACCACTGCTCATGCTCATTCAGCTTTCGCTATCGCTGGAAAGCTCGGAACTCGATCAAAAAATGTTCACCGCCATGCCACCAGCTTGTTGTTACTGCTAAGATGTTTATTAAACGTTAAGTTCTATCGTTGTTTTATACTGAGATGTAGTCTATATGAATTGCCGTAAAGGCAATCTTTGTCGTCGTCCAACTGTTAAACAAAAGGTGGGTCAATGTGCTCGACTAAATTATTTTTACAGGCATGACACTCGAAGCAGTTCTAATGCTATTTACCGCTAAATTTATATACGTGGTTTTATTTACATGTTTTAAGATGTAATCTTTTCTATAATCAAACGCTGTGTATAGTACGTCAAGTAGAATATATAAATATACAGATACGTAAATATTTATAATTACAGGCCTCACCATTGCGAACATAATACCTATTATGATGCTGGGGCGCAAGCAGAGCCTCAAGGGGGAACCCGTCTTGGCCGATTACGGGCCAGAGGAGTCCCTCAATGAGAGCGCTGACATAGAGTGGGTGAATAAGGTAATTTAATTTAACGAAGTTTGAAAATTTCATATTCACCGAACAAACGATTAGCGAATGATAGCATTTAATTCTAAATAACAATTACCTGATCGTTTCAGCTGTGGGTTAGGAGGTTGATGAGGTTCTGCGCCCTGGTATCATTAACTTCAGTCTGCTTGAATACTCCAAAGACTTTTGAAAAAATTCCGCCTCTTCAGTATGTTACCTTCATTTGCGATTTAGTCGTCACGTTCTTATTTACCGCTGAAATGATTGCCAAGATGCATATCAGAGGTATACTGAAGGTAACCAGACTTCGTACAATTTACGCGAGATACTCTTGAAAAAGTAAGACTAAGCGAAGAATTTATTACAGAGGGACAAATCTTACTTGAAAGATCATTGGTGCCAATTCGATGGGAGTATGGTGGTCTTCCTCTGGTTATCCGTAATTTTACAAATGTTCGAAATGTTGGGCTTCGTTTTAAAATTTAGTTACGTTTCGATACTACGAGCACCACGACCCTTAATTATGATACGCTTCCTAAGAGTCTTCCTTAAGTTCTCCATGCCCAAAGCTAGGATTAATCTAATTTTCAAGTAAGTAAACGATTTTCATGTCCAAACTTTCAGTTCAACGTTTTCTACACCGTGTATTCGTGCTTTCAGACGCTCGAGCCAACAAATATACAACGTGACCCTCTTCTTTCTTTTCTTCATGTCTCTCTACGGTCTTCTAGGCGTCCAGTTCTTCGGTGAATTGAAAAACCATTGTGTTCTTAACACCACCGATCCAAAACGCATTACTATAAACAGTTTAGCGATTCCTGATACTTTCTGTTCGACTGATCCTGAATCTGGATACCAATGTCCAGAGGGGATGACCTGTATGAAGCTCGAGTTATCCAAGTACATCATGGGTTTCAACGGTTTCGACGAGTTTGGTAATACCAAGCGTTGAAGTACATAACGCTACCTATATTTGGTGATCGATAACGAAATAAACTGTAGAAATAACTATGATTTCTTTTCAGCTACGAGTATTTTCACTGTTTATCAAGCCGCGTCGCAAGAAGGATGGGTTTTCATCATGTACCGTGCGATAGACAGTCTACCCGCTTGGCGTCCAGTTCTCTACTTCAGTACAATGATATTTTTCTTAGCTTGGCTCGTGAAGAATGTCTTCATCGCAGTTATCACAGAGACGTTTAACGAAATACGAGTACAATTCCAGCAGATGTGGGGCGTGAGGGGACACATCAGCAACAGCACTGCGTCACAAGTTAGTCGCGTAATGTATTTGAGTTTTCCATGGTTGATCCCAACCGAGGTATCATCGAGTATTTTGATACAGAAGCATTCATTGGTACGTTGATGTTACAGATACTGACGGGTGACGATAACGGTTGGAAATTGGTAACTCTAGATGAAAATAAACACGGAGGACTGGCCTCTCCCGTGTGTCACGCCGTCCTGAGGTCTCCTCATTTTCGCATGGTAGTGATGTGCGCGATTCTGGCGAACGGCATCACCACCGCGACGATGAGCTTCAAACACGACGAAAAACCAAGGCACACGTATTACGACAAGTATTACTATGCCGAGATCGCGTTCACGACATTCTTGGACCTCGAAACGTTATTCAAAATTTGGTGCCTCGGATTCCGCAGTTATTACAAGCATTCGATTCACAAATTCGAGCTGCTGCTGGCAATTGGTACAACCATACACATCATTCCGTTCTTCTATCTTTCTGGATTCACGTATTTTCAGGTTTCTATATCAATTTTCATTCAGTTCTGAAACAGAATAAATAACAACAGTTAAAAAGAGAACAAACAAAAATTAGTAAAATCGAAGCGTTTTAGTCTTGAATTGATAAGATATGACTTTGGAATTAGGTTCTCAGGGTAGTCAGACTCATCAAAGCATCCCCGATGTTGGAGGACTTCGTGTATAAGATATTCGGACCTGGAAAGAAATTGGGAAGCCTCATAATTTTTACCATGTGTCTACTCGTGATATCGTCTAGCATATCTATGCAGCTCTTCTGTTTTCTCTGTGACTTTACAAAATTTGAGACCTTCCCGGAGGTAACATATCGAGAGTTAAATATACTTTTTGTCCCGTTAACCGATAATAAATCTTTTAGGCGTTCATGTCTATGTTTCAAATCCTGACGCAAGAAGCTTGGGTCGACGTAATGGATGAAACAATGCTCAGAACACATGAGACAATGGGCCCTTTCGTTGCCGTATACTTCATTTTATACCATCTATTCGTCACATTGGTAATAATACATGGATACAGTTTGCCAATAATTTAATTGTATACCAACTGAAATGTTTTCTCTCCCTTGTCAAGATCGTGTTAAGTCTGTTCGTTGCAGTCATCTTGGATAATCTTGAACTGGACGAGGATATCAAAAAATTGAAACAATTAAAGTTCCGCGAGCAAAGCGCAGAGATAAAAGAAACCCTACCATTCAGATTGAGAATTTTTGAGAAGTTCCCTGATAGTCCTCAGATGACATGCTTGCACAAAGTACCGTCAGACTTCAGTCTTCCGAAGGTATATTCCATTCGATATATTACAATTTATTTTTTCATAAATAAAACAGCACAAGCGCGTATAGATCAATACGTATTTACACGATTTAGGTGCGCGAAAGCTTCATGCGACAATTTGTATTCGAAATGGAAAACGAGGAAAACGAAGGGGCGAAAAAAATTAACGAAACGTTTGATTCGAAAATGATATACAGAAAACAACGGCCAGTAAAGATTTTAAATAATCCACCGAAAGTAAGGAACGTTGTCACTAATCTTAAAAAAGCGGCTGTTAGTTACATTATAAAGTAAGTATCGGATTCGATAATCTTTAAAATTACTCATAAACTCTCGTGTCAAGATTAAGATCTCGTGTAAAAATAATCACGGTAACATTCTTCTCACGCAAACATTTTCTCTAAACAATTGTACATACACACGTTTTAAATATAGTAATATCATTCTTCAGCGACTCCAATAATCAGAGGCTCCTATTAGGCGATTCTGCTATGATACCAGTACCAGGAAAAGGTCTTTTGAAGCCACAAGGTACCGTTAACAGTGCCAAGCAACTGCGCATCGATCAGAAAAAGTAAGACTCGTTTTGCGAACTTTGTATCGTAAACGCAATAATTCAGTAATGTATTCGATACCCAAATACGAGCTATAGACGTATTACGATATTAAACAAGGTGTTTGAACTTAACAATATTTTTGAGAATGACAACTGTAACAGGTCGATCAGAAGAAGCGTTCGCAGCGGATCGATCAAGTTAAAGCAAACGTACGAACATCTGATGGAAAACGGTGATATCGGAGGTATAAACAGAGTCAGTTCTTCCCGCAGTAGACCACATGATTTGGATATTAAATTGCTACAAGCCAAAAGGCAGCAAGCGGAGATGCGAAGGTACAGTAAGGATTTATGCACTGTCTTATAGTTCTAACACATCTTACACATCTTTAAAATTGAACGCTTACCACACGTTGCACCTACGTAGAAATCAACGCGAGGAGGACTTGCGCGAAAATCACCCATTTTTCGATACTCCGCTGTTCGCGGTGCCGCGTGAGAGTAAATTTCGCAAAATTTGTCAGTCTCTCGTTTACGCGAGGTACGACACGAACGTGAAAGATCCTTTAACTGGAAAAGAAAGAAAAGTTCAGTATAAAAGCCTACAGTAAGTGCTTTCGTTTTGAATGACTGCCTCGACACGCTCGTAGATCATTGCTTGAAATTCGTAGCGAAACTTTACAATAATCACACACGCTTTTTAGCAACTTCCTTGGCTTGGTCACGTACCTTGATTGGGTAATGATCCTTGCTACGACGATGTCTTGCATCTCCATGATGTTCGAAACGCCTCGTTATCGTGTGATGGAAGTACCGGCATTGCAAATCGCCGAGTACGGTTTCGTTATCTTCATGAGTATCGAGCTAGCGCTTAAGATTTTGGCGGATGGATTGTTTTTCACGCCGAAGGCCTACATCAAAGATGTTGCCTCTGTCCTGGACGTTTTTATCTACGTCGTACGTTCACACCCAATGAATCATTTTTGTCGTCCGATATCTCAAATATTTCTTATTAATTTAACGATCGTTCAAGGTCAGTCTTGTATTTCTTTGCTGGATGCCGAAGAGCGTGCCAGCGAATTCTGGCGCGCAGCTTCTCATGATTCTACGATGCGTCAGACCGTTGAGGATCTTCACTCTTGTACCGCACATGAGAAAGGTCGTTTACGAGTTGTGTAGGGGCTTCAAAGAGATCTTACTGGTAAATAGTTCTCGCTTAAAGTCACTTTTAATGCTCCCTAATTTTCAAGTACGCGAGCAAATACTCGTTATAAGAAGCTTTTTAGGTGTCTACTCTGTTGATCCTATTGATGTTCATATTTGCGAGTTACGGTGTACAGCTTTACGGGGGTAGATTGGCTCGGTGCAACGATCCGACCATCTTGAAACGGGAGAATTGCGTTGGTGTATTCATGCGGCGAGTATTCGTAACAAAAATGAAACTACGACCGGGCCAAAATGAGAGCTACCCGTCTATATTGGTACCACGCGTTTGGTAGGCATATTAAGTCTAAGATATCAAGTCTAAATTGATTAAAGAGGACGTTCACGAGCGTACATTGAAATATTTTAGGGCCAATCCTAGGCGGTTTAACTTCGACCATATCGGTGACGCACTGATGGCGCTTTTCGAAGTACTCTCATTTAAAGGGTGGCTAGACGTTAGAGACGTTCTTATCAAAGCACTCGGGCCCGTAAGTCATCCGTGCTATCATAAAGATGACGTATGATACTATACAATACTTTTTTAGGTCCACGCTATCTATATCCACATCTATATATTTTTGGGTTGCATGATTGGTTTGACTTTGTTCGTTGGTGTCGTAATCGCCAATTACTCCGAAAACAAAGGAACCGCGTTACTCACAGTCGATCAAAGACGATGGTAAATCTTTCGTTAAATAATTCACTAAATTTTCGGAATAATACATTGAAGATATAAACGTGTGTATACGTTGTTGTATGAGTAGGTGCGATTTAAAGAAGCGACTGAAAATCGCTCAACCGTTGCACTTGCCACCCAGACCAGATGGGAAGAAATTCCGAGCCTTTATCTATGACATCACTCAGAATATATATTTTAAAAGATTCATCGCGGTTATGGTACTCATAAACAGTGCTCTTCTGTGCGTTTCTGTGAGTTGAATAATTTTCATTTCTTTTCTCCCTGTAGCGACACCTACAACACACAACACAACAAAACATACCGTTAGAAACATTAACAGAATCCTGATAGAAAAGTACAACAAACAACACAGGATGTCAATGACTGTTACCTTGAATCATTTGTTCCTTGCCGGCTACCATTAGACCGTGGTAAAAGTAAACCGACACGTTTTTCCGTTAACGACATATTTGTTTGTTTTTTTCATTTATCCTAAGTGGAGAATCGAGGAAGAACACACGGAAGCGCTCGCTACGGTTTCCACGATTCTGACACTGATCTTCCTCGTGGAAGTGATCATGAAAAATATTGCTTTTACACCACGTGGCTATTGGCAGTCCAGAAGAAACAGATATGATTTGCTCGTGACAGTTGTGGGTGTTATTTGGATCGTCATTCATTGTACAATGAAGGTATGTCGGTATAATTAATTCGTGATTAGTTCAGTGTTTCATTAATTGTGTAATGTCAACGACAAACAGATGTAATGACAGGAGTGAATTTCTTGCAGAACGATTCGTCGTACCTAATCGGCTTTATGGTCGTGATCCTTAGATTCTTCACCATCACTGGCAAACATACAACTCTGAAAATGTTGATGTTGACAGTCGGAGTGTCCGTTTGCAAAAGTTTCTTTATTATATTTGGCATGTTTCTCCTTGTTTTCTTTTACGCCCTAGCAGGCACGATCATTTTTGGAACAGTAAAGTATGGCGAAGGTATAGGAAGGTAATGTGCTACTTTACCCTTGAAATAACGTAAGGAAACCGTTAATGACTGTACAATCACATAGCATAGGCGTTTCTGTCTGTAAATATAATTATAAAAGTGACGTTTGTCATTTAGGCGTGCCAATTTTGAATCGCCCGTGACTGGCGTTGCTATGCTCTTTCGTATCGTCACCGGAGAGGATTGGAATAAGATAATGCACGATTGCATGATACAACCGCCGTATTGCACTCCGGCTGCTAATTATTGGGAGACCGATTGCGGGAATTTTCATGCTTCCTTAATTTATTTTTGTACTTTTTACGTCATTATCACTTACATTGTTTTAAATCTTCTGGTGGGTAAGTACCGAGCGGCACATCTTAAAACGGAAATGCCAAACGTAGATCTTTCTCATGGTATCGAAAATTAATTCTTTTGCGGCAGCTATTATCATGGAGAACTTTTCTCTATTTTATTCGAACGAGGAAGACGCGTTATTGTCGTACGCCGACATTAGAAATTTCCAAAACACCTGGAACGTCGTCGACAATCACCAAAAGGGTGTCATACCGGTGAAACGGGTACGTCTGAAGATATTGTTAAGAGTTTGACAAGTTGCTATAAATTAGACTAGAAGTAATGATATATTAGTTTGCTTTAGGTAAAGTTTATCTTACGGCTGTTGAAAGGCCGACTAGAGACAGATCCACAAAAGGATCGGCTGCTCTTCAAGCATATGTGTTACGAGCTGGAGAAGTTGAACAATGGCGAAGAAGTTACTTTCCACGATGTTATTAAGTAAATCACCATCTTTGTAAAATAGTTATTTTTTAAATCACAATTTTGTTTATGGTACCTTTTTCCCTTCAGTATGTTGTCGTATCGCTCGGTCGATATACGGAAAGCTCTTCAACTCGAGGAACTACTGGCAAGGGAGGAGTTCGAGTACATCATCGAAGAAGAAGTCGCTAAACAAACGATAAGAAATTGGTTAGAGGGTTGTCTGAAAAAAATTCGAGCGAGTGGGGTAAGTTTCAGCAAAGTGGACGCTTCGACTCGAACTTAAGACATCATTTATGCATTACAGAAGCAGCAAAATAGTCTCGTTGCTGGTCTTCGTGCGAACACTGACCAACCCATACAACAACAAGAGCATACGGAAGAGAAAAGAAAGGAAGCAGACAAAGAAGAAGAAACTGAAACAAAGGTAACGTAGTGAAAAATTACCATTTTCTTTTACCATAATATTTCATTAACGCGTTCCTTGAGAGCAGGACACGGACGGATCTAAGCACAAAGTTAAGAAACCACCAGCTCTCCCAAGATCTGATAGTATAGGCAGTGGATCTGGAAGGAAATATTTGACTCCAACTCTGTCGGATCCTGCGTCGATTAGGTCTGAAAAAGACAAGAATGTAGCACCTAAGAAAAGAAACAATAGACCACCACGTAAGTTTCTTTAAACGTGTTAACGATTATATACCTTTTCCCTCGTACGTTCCTCCAATATGAGCTTTCCGTTTAAAGCGATGGCGAAAAATAATTTGCCACATCTCACAGAAAGTTCCGAGCAGAGCAGACAACAGAGGGAAGCTTTCAATGCAAAGACAACCGCGCCGAAACCTTCCAGCGTTATACTGGAAGTTCGCGAATGGTGGAAAGAGCAGTTGGCGTATAGCAGTGAGTCCAGCGAGGACGAGGTTTAAATAATGTTCATATTTTATAACTTGTATAAATGGAAAGCATGGGTATAAAAAAATGGAGCACATGCTTTTAACAATCGACATAAAGATATATGTAAATGAATCAAATTTGAAAGGGATGCAAATACGAATTATGTTTTAATGTTTCTCGCATGTGCTTCGTTCTTATTTATACGCATACGTTTAACATTGACGAATTAAGTTTGCTGAAACGACAGTTAAGTGAACAAGGTGTGCCTGAAATACCTATGTTAAAGAGCCAAGGAAAGAGAAGGTGTGATTCCTGTAATGCAATTAAAAATTCCAAAAGATAACTATCTTCTTGATTGTATAATTTTTTAGTATCGTTGCGTAATCTTACGATGCGCAGAGATACATTTACCGATTTGTGCTTAACTGTTCGCTTTGTTAACTTCTAATAAAATGTATGAATAATTTTATTATCACACGAGGGAATAGTATCGTATCAGTTTGTGTTTTTTAGTACAGACGCCGTTAATTTTGTTCCCTCATATCTCAGCTTGCTAACGCAAATACTCAGGTTCTACATAGATTAATGTTTTGTAGATTGTACAGCGTGTTTTTAGATAAATTAAAAATAATTTGTTACTTGTGTTACATATATTTTGTGTCATTTGTTGGTGTTGAAGTGTGGAATTTGTAGAAAATTATAGAACTAGGTACGGTAGATTTTGTACAATAAAAAATGTTAAATCATGGAAGTGCTAATTAAAATGAATCAAACTGACGTTGTCGATGACAACTACTAGTACAAGAAACAAAAATGACAATTTCTTCTGTAATGGAAATAATTCGGTTGTCGAAAGTTTGATCGATCTATGTAAATGAAAACAATTAAATGTGGTACGAATTTGTTTGTTTATAACAGAAACATTACGTCCCGAAGGCCTGTATTATAACGATAAGAACGTAGCGACTTTAATACCGGCAGTGTAAAGCTTTTACATCTGTTTGTAAATGTGTAGTGTTTTTGTTATGGGCATAGATATAGTGAAACCTTTGATACACTCAACGATAATAATTTACTCATACAAATTATTCGTATAAAAAAGAAAACATCAAATCATAACATCGTCAACATATTATTTCAATCAAGCGTCACCGAGCGTACGAGTACAAGTGAACAGAATTTCATTCTTAAACGGATATGAAGATTAATAATTTCATTCAAAAATAAGTTCAAACGGATCACCAAAATAGCGATAGCTAATAGAGGCTGTAGACGATGTTACAAAATTAAGCATTTTTTAACGAAAAGAAAGTGCAGATAGAACAAATTACGTGTAAAAAAAAAGATGCCTAAATATTAGATATATACTTAAACGAGACAACACAACTATTTATATCTATGTGATATGAGTTGATTTTATATAAATATATATATATATATATACATATACAAAATAAAAGGACTTAGAGGCGTAAACAATATTGTTTACAGTATTGTAATGAATGTTGATCACTGTTGCTAGTTTATGTGCCAATGTGCTGTACTGTAATGGAGAGATAATAAATGTTGATAGATACAAGTATTTTCAACTATTATAATTTCTTCTTTCAAGAGTTCTCGTCTAACGTAAAAAAAAGGAGTTAGCGGATTACTCACTAAAACGTTTTGTATAAAAATTTTATAACAAATTTACAAGTAAAAATAATTAAAATATGAGGTAATCGACTTACAGAAAGAATACAATTTACATAAGAAATATATTATCGTCCGCAGCCATTATCTGATTAGCGTCAGACATCCTGTTAATCGCAGCGGTAATCTCACCCGACGTAAACTCTTTCGACTGTTCGCTGTTGATATATTCGCGTACTCTCGACAACGGAAGCGATTGCGCCCGTTGCTGTTGGAACAACTTGTGAAGAAGCGTTCTAAATAATTTCAATCTGAAATCATGGAACATGTATACATATAACTATCTCCTTACATACGGGTGTCACGCACAATTTCGATAAGTACCTTTCCTCGGTGATAGTTGCAGGAGCTTCTGGTATAACAGTTGGAGCAGAATCTTGTGCCGATTGCACAGACTGACTTTGCGAAGTTGACGTAGTCGCTACTTGCGATCTAGTGATCCTCGTTACAGCTTCATCAATGTGACTATCGTCATCGCTATCAAAGTCATAAGGATCTTCAGATTTCGTGCTTTGCTTACGTTTCTTCTTTTTCTCCTGCGATTCATCGCCACTCGAACTACCTTCGGTATCGCGCCGTCTTCGTTTTTTCTTTTCTTTCTCTAGCACGCGCTTGAAGTAGGCGAACTCCACCAGTTCTATCGCCGCGTAAGCATCTTCAGCGGTTACGTTCTTCGACAAACGAGCTTTCGCGTGCGCCGTAGACAATCGAATCAACGTTTCCAAGGTACGAGCTGTTATAGGCGTAGTCCTTGCTACATCGGAATCCACCGACTCTTCTGATCGTAGTTTCGAGTATTCGGCAGCGATTACCTCGCTAGCCTCTTCCGTGAGTTTTGGTTTCATACAACGAGCTATGTGGATATATTTTCTCATAAAATTTATAGTGAGAATTTGGTCGCTCTTAGAACGCAATCGTCCATGTAACAACGGATCGTATTTTTGATATACTTGAACTTCCGTGTCGTCGACATGAATTTGATCGGGATTTTTTGTAGTTAATACATCTATTTTACTACCAAAAGGTAACGCTTCTCCATCCTGTTCATTCGAGCTCCTGTACCTGTGCATTCTTACAACATGATCGCTGATTATTTGATCTTGTTCGTAGTCTACTATGTCCAGCATGACGAATAACAGATCGAAACGTGAAAGCAACGAATCTTGAAGACCAATATTTTCCATGGGCGTTTTATATTGATCGTACTGCAAGTAGATGCATACATATTAAATAATAAGAGCGTCTTAATTTTAAAGTCAAGCAATTAATTTCAGAGGAATAAATCTCACTCTTCCGTAAACTGGATTCGCAGCTGCCAATACTGAGCATCGTGCGTTTAAACTCGCGTGTATCCCAGCTTTGGCGATCGTTACTTTTCCTTGTTCCATTACTTCGTGTATAGCTGTTCGATCGATGTCGGACATTTTATCGAATTCATCTATACAAATGATTCCTCGATCTGCCAATACCATAGCACCAGCTTCGAGTCTGCGCTCGCCTGTTTCGGTATCTACCGTAACAGCAGCTGTTAATCCTACACCAGAAGATCCTCTACCAGTGGTTGGTATCGCTCTCGGGGCAGAGCACAGAACGTAACGCAGAAGTTGCGATTTTGCAACAGATGGATCACCGATAAGCATAACGTTAACATCTCTGTAATCATTATTAGTTATAATTTCGTTTTCTCGTTAAAAGATGCTTTTGTAACGTATATATAATCAAAGAATGTTTACCCTCTCAATCGTGTACCGTTAGGTAATAATTTCTCGACACCGCCGAGCAGTAAACACAAAATCGCCTTCTTTACATAATCGTGCCCGTAAATAGAAGGTGCTAGCGATTTACTGAGCAACTCAAAAATATTATTACATGGATTAGTTTTGGCAAGTTTTTTACACATAGCTACATCATCATGAGAAATAGATAGATTAGCGTCTTTGCTCAATTGCATGATATTATTAGCAATTAAAATTGTTCTATAAAAAAATATATTCTTTACGTTTAAGTAGTTCTAGATAAACTTGTATTCTTTGATCAACAAACCTGAAGGTGCCTGTTGTATATCCTCCTTGTTTACCAGGCAAACATCTAAAACTTCCAACAATTTGAACCCTGTCTCCTGGTTTGCAAAGGTCCACTAAATCGTTATCGCAAATGACGTCAACGCTGCGCGGTAACTGACCGGTAGGTGCTTTTTCCGGCATTTCTTGTATAGTTAGTGTTTGATGGTCTTTGTAGGTAGACAGACCAAACTCTGTTTCCAAAGTGTTACCATCTTCATCCTACATATTAAATAATACATTATAATATACCATATATCGTTTATTCTTAAATAATATCAATGCAATAGTTACCATTGTTGGGTATACAGCTGATTGTGGAAATGCATCAAACGAAGTTAGATCAGTGTAAGCTCTTTCTATCACTGTTTTTGTGGAGCTACAATAATGAACGCTTCTTACAACCTTTGGCCGTACCAAAGAGCCTGTAGATGTTTACATTATATATTAAACTTGACTCAACTAAAGTAAAATGCAAAATTCATATATATAACTATATGTACATTTTGTAGCAATTCCTTCCACACAGACCAAGTTACTCAAGTAACGCGAGGTAAGAGTTCTTGGTGTGACATGTTTATTTCCAAAACTTCCTTCAAATCCTATAAAAAAATCTATACTTCCTTTTGCATAATCCGTGTCAATGCTCCCAATAAATTGCTTTAATGCAAGTTCAAAGGCATGGTGCTCTTCAAAAGCATTGTTCAATAGACTAGAACAAATATTAGTTCTTGAAATATATTTTAGAAAACAGGATACTACAATGCATAACACGTTCCATCATACACACCTTGTTGCCCTGGTGGGATTTTTTCTTCTTAAATCATTGATGTTTACGTACAGTCTGTGTTTGTTATCATCAATCATATTCTTAACGAGAGTAGTATAAATGCCTTGATCCTCCTAAGAAACAATCATAAATAAACAATAATCCTACAACAAATAGCGAATACTTTTTAACTCACCATATCATCCAGAAAATCCACATATTCCCGTTGTATCTCCTCGAATCTCTGATCTCTATCCATAGAATCCATTTTGTTCTCGTTTAAACTATTTATTCTAACGTAAAATAAATAACACTAACGATTTAATAACTACAAATAAATATAAATAAACCAGTAAAGGATCGGCGTCCCGTGCAATAATTTGCGCGGGAATAACGTGGGAAACCTAAATCTAACCGACCATTCGAGATTCGATATATTGTAAGACATCAAAATCTTCGATAATTCCATACAAGTTTAGCTGAATTCCGTAAGGTGGCATCAAAGGTCATTTCCTCTGGTAATTAATTATAAAAACACAATTAATACTATATTTAGAACATAATTTCTTCAATAAACAATCTTTGGGTCCTTTTTACACCGAGGAAAATTAATTACAAATTGCTGATCTCAAGTAGAAACATAAAAATTCGTAACATGACAGAATTTAAACCTAGCGCGAAAATTTGAAATCTGACAGTTACTTTCCATTCTGTTGATAACCAGATTTGTTTATATGATTTATACTTTGTTAATCATTTCGTGACTGAAACTACGTTTCGAATGAAAATCCAGTTTATCATGATTAACAATCGAGTAAAATGAACAGAAGTAGAGACAAGTAAAAGGAGTAGGATGATTCTGGAATACGTAAGAGATTCATTAAAATGTCAAAGTCTTTGTATTTTTCATCTGCAATTGCAGCGTGGAAGTATAATCGATTTTCGTGCGAATTTTTCAAGGAAGCTTTTACAGGTTTACATTTAAAGGGCACTTAATACGTAAACAACACTCAGATAGTAGAGAAAATGATATGTTTGTTGGCAGAACTTTCGTGCGTTGTTACTTACATAGGTGTGTATTTTGTGTGTATATATAAACAGAAGGTAATTTTACCTTTTTACATTTAATACGTTAAAAACAAGTTGAATTGTTCAATGTAGGTGTTTTTTTTTTTTTAATCCCTCAGTTCGATAATTCCTACATTGTTAGTCATGCAGTTCGAAAGTTTAATAGGAGGATTCGTTGATGCAGTTTTGTAATGGTCCGATACACGCTAAGATTCGCATACGCGAGACACGTACAGGCAAAGGTACCTAAAATACGGTCAAACAAGATTCAAATAGATATTTTGAGCATAACCAACGTTTCCCTTGGAAATTAATGTCATCCATTTTGCTTCTCGTGAACACCGTTCTCCTGTGGTTTTAATGGTTTTATCACATCCACTTCGTTTAACTGTTCTATATCTAATTGTTGTTTCTTTTTCTTCTTCGGAGTTTTCCTGAAGTGAAGCATAATAATGGTAAAATGGAAGTGATCAAACGATTAAAGGTTATAAACCAACATACTTTCCAAACAACTCTCCATCCTGTATGGACTCTGGAAGCTTCTTGTTCAGTGTTTCTGGAAGGAGTAGCGACATCATTCCACCAAGAAGCACGCACGATCCAAAAATGACAAAGGGTAGAGGCATCCAGATTTCAGACTGTGAATCACAGCATCATTGAATATTTAAAAAGAGCAACTAATCTTGCGGAAATATGTTTTTAGATTTGATTTTACAAAAGGGAGGAATGTTTCGAGTAGTATATGTATTGCAAGTAAAGTTCATTTACCAGATGTATGACGTACGGGGCAATTACACCACCGATTCGAGCGAAAGTTGAACTCGCTCCGAGACCGACGTTTCGAATGACCGTGGGAAATTGTTCGGCAGTAAAAACATAAATTGCACCATAGGAGGACGTGATGGTGAGTTTACCGATCATCGCGAGACACACGACGAGCCACTGAGCATCTGGAAACATTCATACGCGACGACTGAGTTTCACATTTCAATAGAATACAAAATAAAACGGATTGCCTCTACTCACCAGCAGGTACAAACAGAATAGCGAGCAACGCCATTCCAGATATCAACATACATCCGCACAAGATTAACTTTCTCCCCCAACGATTTAAGGTGAAAATTAGAAACGTATACGCGGGCACTTCCACGAGCCCGGAAATTAGGAAATTAACGTATTCGTTACCACCGAGGTTGGATACGTGCCAAGATAATCCGTAGTAGGTACCGCTGTTTACAAGCCTAGAAAGATTGAGATCGCGTTACCATACTCGTTAATTTATTACGCTTCAAGGTAGCTTATGTAAAGCTGACAGCTCGCTTTATGGATGCTCATAAATAATTAAGAGTTCTGACATCATTTTCAATAGTTCAATGAGCTTTCAGCTTCGCACAGCCTTCAAGGTATCGAGGAGAGACGAGGTAAACATTACCAATTGAAAAATAGTAAGATACTTTTCCGCCTCAAATTTGGATACCGGAAGAGGTCGAACAACGACGGTTTCTTATAATCTGGAGCGCTTTCCTCGCTGTTATTATTAAGAAGAGAGTCCAGTACCTCGATCGGCATTTCCACGCCGTTTTCTAAAGATGCGCCCTGCAAGAGATCTTTCGCTTCTTGCACGCGGCCTTTGGTTAACAACCAACGCGCAGATTCAGGAATGAACCTATAACGACAACATTAATAATAGAAAACTTGTTTGCGTTACGATCATTGGTTCAATTCATTGACATTGTTTACTATTTATTGCTTACCACCAGTACAGAAGAAACGCAATGCTTGGCACAGTGATAGCGACTTGTAGCATTCTCCAATCGGTTATAAAATACGCAAAACCAGCAGTGAGAATGTATCCAGTCGTGAAGAATAGTTGGCAACCGACTCCAGCTACTAAACGCTTCCTTGGACCTACCATTTCCAAGGCTAAACAGCAACGTCATTCTCAGCATAGTATCGAATGTTATTAACGTTAATAATATATTTAAATCAGATACAAGCATTTATTGGATCGAGTAATAATTTGACTCGTACTATTATAGACTTCTTGACTTGTTTTTTTAGAATGCAATAGGATGGATACTGTCTCTGGAAATCAGAGTGAATTTATTACTCAGTCCATCGTTTTATTAATTGTATGATAATTTACCTATGACATAGGCAACTAAAAAGACCCCGCTAGTGGTTGAGCCAACTATCAATCTGAAGATAACGTAGGAAATAAACTCGGGTGCAACTGCGACTAGTATACCACCGACCAGCTGTATGACTAAAGACAGGAAGAAAATTGGTCTACGCCCATACTTATCGGACAAACCACCGAAAATCATTGAGCCAAGCATGACTCCTACCATGAACAAAGAATCCCCCGTAGCTTTCAACCATGCTCTGTCGCAAACTAAGTTCCACTGAAAAGAAATAAACAAAACAGACAACTTTACACGTTAGACCTTCGTTAACAGGATTAAACGTTTGTTATGTACACGACGGATAGGATAGCATAAATTTAATATCTTGAACGAAAGACTATCGAACGAAAAAGGTGACGAATAAGGAAAGCATGCCAGACGTACCTCAGACGTAGTGGTACTTTTGTATTTGCTTCTGTCGTAGACGTATTCATCGCACGGTATTACTCCTTGAGTGTTGAGACAATTTGGAGAAAAGGGTTTTTGGATAGGTGAGTCGTCGGTCGACGTATCGACGTACCTGTCGATCGTTGTTTGGTTAACGACATCAGGAACGTCGCGTCTGTAGCACTGCGACGATCCTTTCAGCTCGTAGTCCCATGGATAGCTTGCGTTCATCACGTTTTGTGGTAACATGTACGTTGCGTTCTCCACATTCTCATGTGGTAGCAAGCACCTAAAACCAGAATTTCATTTTAACTCCCTTTAAAGATAACTCGAACGTTAATTTCAGAATCAACTTTCTTTTTAAAAAGGATATTTTTTTTTTTTTCAGCAGACTCTGACCTAGAGTTCATTTTCGCGCTGAGGAAGACACCAGCGATCTTGTGAAAGGCGCAGGATATCGCCGGAAGGCAGAGTAAGAGGTAAATCCTGCGCTGGTAGCGACCAAATTCGCCCATGCGAAGGATAACGTCGTCGTACGCCATTTTTCTTTGATGCCTTTTATTCTTCTGCGTTTGCGACTCCTAGTCCCCGTGGTCCTTTTGCTCGGGGATGCGTTTCTGAAACAATTTCTTGCTATCGTCGAATCCGTCTCGATGGCGATAATGATTTCTTGCCGCGAGTAGGTCCTCGGACCTATCCTGTGCTTGCAAATCGAATTACTAATCCTTCGATATCAACTTCGAGGAACTCCCCTTCCTTTCTTCGTGAAGAATGAAGATGCTTTCCTGTTTAATTTTAACTTCTCGATTCGTTCGATTCTCTAAGTGTTCTTGATCCGTGTTACGAGACGAGACTCTTCTGCGATTCGTGTCATTCTTAGCGAAACGTGGATCACTTCTATGGGAATATGGTCTTGGTGGGTGCGTCCATGGGGGTAGGTAGCTCTTCACCGTTCGAGCTCGATATCCTGGAATGTGGAACGTATGTTTGTCACCGATGACGGTACGGACGCGCTAATTACGAAATTCGTTGACTCGTAAATGTATATTGGACGTAGCGACTGATTGTGCTGACTCGTGTTCCGCTGCAGGTAGATTTTCCTCTTTCGGTCTGAAAACAAGGAAAACGATTTCGTGACGATCGTGTTTATTCTAAGAGGAAAGTTTTTGCAGGGAAGACGATCACTGTTTTGTAAACTTTTTTAGAAAGAAAAACTCCGCGGCTATAACATGCTTGACGTTTTAAAGAAAGATCAAATCAAAAATTATTATCGTAGTGACGCGACAATGACCTTATTCAACGGAGATACCTTTTATATTACAGGACGAGACGAGTATTGCAACATGTCGTGTGTATTATCGAACCATTAAGAATGCAAATGGATTTAACGCACACACTGTTATGTTTACCGGTTTTAAATAAACCTGACCATGAGACGTCGTGCATAGGAGAGGGTTCCACCAAAACATCGTCCGAATTGCAATAAACAAAAAGGGTAAATGATTAACTTTCCGCGAACAAAGAGAAGCTTTCTATTTACAGACTCGACAAATTTGTCGAATTGTATATTCATCGTATCTCGTATCGATCACTAAACACTTATCTAGAATGTATAAATAATCTGACTCGTTAATCTAAATCCAATAAGTCGATGAAGACACTATTTGTCGTTATCTATCATAAATGAAATTGGCGCGTAACACGTGCTTTCTCGTGAGTGTGTCAATACATGGATGACGGGGCGTTTAAATCCACGATGTACACCTGACTAATTTTCATTGCTACGTGGATTTATTTTAAATTACTCTCCAATGTTCTTCCACCGTTTAATTATCGTAAGTTCCATTAATTAATGGTACGAAGAGCTATGGATTATTTATTCTCTGCTAACCATGTTTATTTACAGTCCCATTCAACACGTGGGATGAATTAGATCGCCAGGTACGGTTATTTTACATGAATCGACTCGACGATAGGATCGTAGGCATTGCGCGCATACGCGTGTCGTGGCTCTTATGCAATTTCATTTATACTTCCCGAAGAAAGTGTGCGACGTTTCGCACGTTGACCGGAGAATGTCAATGGCGTCGCTTGTCCTTTGGTTTTATCGAGTGGTCAGCTATATCTTTCCGAATTCTGATGACAAACGATTTTATTACACTCTTAAATTGGAGTATATGGAACATGTACTTTTGGAATTATAGTGTCTTTAATTTAGGACTTTTACTTCGTTTATATCCAACTCTGCAGTATCTATAATAGTTTCTATAGTATTTCTATTCTGATTAAGGAGTCGTGTGTTTTCAGGGAAAGGAGAAATTGCACGCAGCGATAGCGTTCGTGGCCAAGATGTGGTCAAACGAAAACCATGCAACAGGTTTTCTATCTTCGTTTGGAAAAAAAAGTACAGCTCATCTTGAAGTAAGCGGCCCCGAAGAAGCGTATTTCACCGAAATTAATCAGCTACGCGTTTCACTCAAATGATCCAAGGTTACTTGACTCGTGTATCAACAACCCAAAGTTTCACAGGCATTTTACGAAATTTATCTTTCCTTGTCTAGTCTAACAGATGTTCGAAACGTCCATGGTTATCGAAAATCCCAACGCTCGGTGACGCAATTCCTAAACGTTACCCAATTGTTCATCGATTACCTGCTCACTAAGCAAAAATTAATTTCCACTCGTGTGTTTCTTTTCGAACGAGTACGTTTTAGGTCTCTCAAGGTCGACTCGATTACATATCACCTTAAACACTCGATATTGTCGCGTGCGCTTACTCTAATGCTCAAGAAAATAGAGTGAATAGGCTTTCGAGACAGATTAAACGAGTAACTCGAGGGAAATTTTCGAACAAGAATAAGTGTCTCAAAAGATAAACGGTGAACTCGTACGACAGCATTCTGGTGGTCTTCGAAGCGCGGTGAGTAAATCCGATTACAAAGTAGAGTGATTGTTCTCAACGCTCCTCTATAGAAAAGCTCGAGATCAGATACTATCACCATTTAAATTGCAAGTAGACGCAACGAGTAGGTCAAGGAAGTCGCACCATCGATTCCACCCCGGATACTGAAAATCAATGTACACCTGACTAGTGGATTATTACTATTCTATTATGCTCCAGAGTACAGCGAATACTCTTTCAGTCGCCTCTGAAAGTACTTGGACACGGATATCGCGCCCCTCTTTACGAAAACGGTCAAGTCCCTCTAAGAATGCTGTACCCTCTAAGTACCACTGGTGCTTAGAATGCGAATAAATGAACGTACTCGTGAACGTCACGTGTCGGCGAGTAGAACACGACGAGTAACTGGTGCTCCGTGGCGGATACGGGTAAATGGATCGCACACACGCAACCGAAGCTCTCCCAGAAGAAAGTCTCCCCCTCGCGGTGGCGAGTTCACTCGGGTCGCGCGCTGTGTCACACTTGTCAGAGTCTCGATAGACGAACGTGAAGCGAGGCTACGCGCACGAAGGACGGACGACGACTGCCGGCACCGGTTCACTTTGGCCAGCAATACACAGGAACAGAAGTGTACGACCGTTTCTCGTGCCAGTGGCGCCGACAGCCCACCACCATAAGTCCAACGAACCCCTATAATCCTTGCAACCCTCGTTTTTTGCCCTCAGTTTCCTTCTCGCTGTTACCTGACGCCCACCAACGCCTTTCATGCCCTATACTACACAGTTGAAAATTTTGCGTTTTCCCGTATAAAAGTCCATTATAACGCGTTGACTTCTAGACTGATTCGTATGGGAATATCTACAGGTCTATCGGAAACTATAGAATTTAACATTCGTCGTGTAACTAGTGTTTGTATTTTTACCGGAATTTACGAATTCTATCCAGATTTCTATCCAGATTAATCGTTGAAGTTCCTTAGCGAAAAGCTCTGTTACAGTTTAACAGAGGCAGCGTGCAGTGAGTACAATACAACGATAATCGTTGAAAAATCGAAACGAAAAGCTGAAGAAACCTAAATTTAATGAGATGAATGATCAGAATCCGAGTAGGGGACGTTAGGCGTAATTCTGGAATAGTGGTCTCTCAGGTCCGACTCTATATTTAGCCTGTTCCTGCATTTAGACTTGTGTAAAATTAACGAAGAAAGGGATCGCACCTGCAAGTTCGCAGAAATTTTTCAGTCGGTTGTTTAAGCAAGTAATTGCAATTCGATCGCGAATCGTGGATACGCGCGATAAATTAAATATAAATCGTAGAGTGGAAGTATCGAAGAGGCTGAGTGCCAACATTAGACAAATTGGAATTCTTCTACATTCTACAATTAGGTGCTTCGTGTCCTTGCCAATAACATTAGAAAAGGTTAATATGTCACCAACCGAGCATACAATAGCGAACAAATAAAACTGCTACTGTTCGCGTAGATAACCGTACCAAATAAATGGCTATACGTCCTCTTACAATGTAATAAAGCACCACGATTAGCTAAGAGGTCCTAGAAAAGCCAACGGCTGTAGGTGACCTCGGAGCCATAAATTAAGTAATAACGTATGGTTTGGAAGTACAAAACGGTCTTCTAGGTGTTAACTCGATGTAGACGTCGATTTCTGTATGGTCGAGTCGTTGGCCCCCGGTTTTCCGTCACGGTCATCAGCATCGCTAACGACAACTACTCCCACCACCGTTCTCCTACCCTCGCCCGTCCTAAATGGATGTCTCGAATACCGATGACTTGGTCGTGGCCGAAGATTCTACCTTTGCTCCATCCTCTTCGTTTCACTGGACACTGCGAGCTCGTTCTTAACAGTGGCCAGCAAACCTGTTGCTCCATGGATCAAGCGATTGATAAGTAATCCCTTCGATTACCGCTAAACCCCCGAAGCCACGCAAAAGATTGCATTTCAATCGTGATTTTCAACCGTCTTCCGTTTGAAACCTTTCATTGGAAACCTAACAAAATAACCGTTGTTCCAGGAAAGAGAAGTATATGTACGAAACGATTAAATGCATTCGCTTATAGTCATTCCTACGTCCACGGAATACAGGAGTGAGAAGGACTAGAGAAGGCAAAAGTGGGGAGAAGGTAAAATAGGAATAGAATTAACTCTTTGCAGCATGGTAACTAACTCGAGTAGGCACCCAGAATATGTCCATCCAAGCGCGGTGGTTAGTCGCTCGAACGATTCACCGCCTTGCAAAAGTAAATAAAATTCTTGCATAGCGAAGAGTCAAATAAAACAAGAATGAAAGAACGAATTTACTCCTATTATTGCGCAGGAGATGTATACGCAATGTACATAAGCTTTCTTTAGAATGAAACTAGTGTATAAATAGGTTGCGTAAATATGGTTCTAAATATAGCGTTTCGATAAAAAGTACACAGGAATTTCTGCGTCTTTCCGATGCACAAGGCGCCAGCAAAATAGCCACGTCTGGATTGCAAAGGAAATTACAAGAACGATTAATTATACGCATTCATGGGATCGGTTTCAACGCGTTATCCTAACGGATCTAATAATAACGGAGATAAACGCAGATAGAACAAGCAACGATTAGTTCAAACGAAGAGGAGAACGTTCCAGCCTTGCAAGAGGATGTTATCAAGCGAAGTAACGAATGCCTCCTATGAATTTTACTTTACAACAATCGATACAATCTATTTGTAATTATAGCTAGGCTTTATAAATACAGTTTCAGCTCGAAGAATTAGCATCGAAGTAACTGAATAGCTTGACGAATGATGCGAATCCACCAACGGCGGTGAAAACGATGACAAGATAGAAAGTGGTCGCTTGCGTTCGCAGTGTACCGACCACGTCGTCGTATAGTATGCTTCGGCAAATTTTACGATCATTCTCGAAGGTTTAGGACCGGAGAATTAGACTGAAGAATGCGACCCAGGGCTTGGTATACCTTCAAGATCCTGCGAGGACGTGCCACGGGACTTGCGGGATATTTATGAGCACTCAAGAACACATTAGAAGATCCAATCCTTCGCGAATGGAAGCTCTTCGGTTGCTTCGTACTGCTTGACCCTCAGTTTTTTGGGGGGAAAACCCACAATGGTTCCAATTCATCGGAAATTCTAATTTTTCCACCATTTTGTTTTCGTTGAATACGAATCGAGCGAGTGTAGCTGCAAGAAAATGTAAATTATTCAGTAGAGCGCGGAAACGCAAAAAACAAGGACGAGGAGATCTTGTAAATTACAATTCTCGGCTCATCCGCGATCCCTGCGAAGGACGAGTACAAAGGAGGTCGAAGAGATGTAATTTGCAGCGGACTCGTTCGAGTAAAAGCATTAGAGAAGACCGAAACGGAACGATACAGACGCCACATTATGCTCCCCGTCGCATTAAGAGCTATATACAGTAATGTGTACTTTGTCTCATGCGATGTTCGAAAAGAAAAACGTAATTGCACGTTTTGCGCTACCGGATCCGCGTTACTCCAATTCTTTGCTGCTCGCGAAACGAAATTAGGGTTATTAACTAGAAAACGTTCGCGAGGGCGCGGAAAATGTTTGACCTGGTTCGTTGTTCCACTTGCTCGTCGTTTTTTATTTTTTTTTTTTTTTTTTTTACGAACGGTAATTCTGTTAAATTAGTAGGAATTTGTGATCGACTCTGAAATGAGAGACCAAGCAAATTATACCCGTACTGTTACACCACTTAGATTCACCTGACGCAATCCTATTAATCAACCTTTATTCTATAAACAACCTGAACCATTTACCAGAAAAAATATTTTTAAAAAATTACATTAAAATATGAATTGTTACAGGAAGATCGATACCAGAGGGAAGAAGTCATCCAATCTGAAAGGAAGCAAACGGTGGTAAGAAATTTTGCACCAACTACTCGTTAAATCACAACCTATTGATCGTAGTATAGCGAGGTTAAGGCGGGCAGCTCGTATCTCAAAGTCGTAAACCGGATGTGACTAGTTTCAAAGGTCGTGAAATTTTATTGCCGATAGCTGGAAGTGAATGAAACGCCTATGTCGTGGGAAAATTATCCGACAAACGTGGAACGATTCAGGCACGTCGCGGTGCAGGGTGCAGATGTAGCTTCAGACGAAGCCCGCGGAGAGACCGTCGCGCTTTAGAAATTATTTTATCGCTGGCGACACCATAAACTGAGGATTCTTGGACTGTCGTAAACCTCCTGTACCTTGGCTCGAACATTTCAACGAGCAATCGCCGCAGCCTGATCTGCGAGCATCTCTGGACCATACAGAGTGTAACTGAGGTAAGTAGAATCTCAGAATCGTGTTATCTTAGAGATGAAAACCCATTTGGTATAGGTTTGACAAAAACGTTTATCGAGCTTAGAGTTGAGCGTACCATCGACATTTTTCTTTCCGTTAGAACAACTGTAATAGTCCTTATAATCGGTTGGGTTGGTTTGACATTGACAACGCACGCCGCAGCGAATACGAAAATTGATAGTTGAGACAGCATTTACCGAGCCAGCAATTTATTCTAACATCGGGTGGGCTAATGTCCACTCCACGCGGAGGTGAGCTTAAGGAAACCGCGCGGAAGTTCGGAGACTATCGAGAAACCTTTCCTCGAGGACGGCGTTCAGTCAAAAGTAGTACACTACGTAGCATCGACGTCGAATCGGACCATTGTCGACTTAAGGATACAGAATTGTCCTTATCCGGTACAATTATCCAGAAATGAAAAAGACACGCTCTGGGAGCTCCTGAAGGTGTCCAACGGACTGCCGTGAGACATGCGATGCTGCGGAAGGAAATAATTTCCAGCGATATCTTCAACGAAGTAATTATCTTCATCTAGGAATAACGAATCGCTCTCAACGATACAAAAGCAATCAGGGCGAAACAGCCGTTCTTTCTAAGCGATTTCGTGTCATGAGGCACTGCTTATAGCTTAATTGACTGTGAACATCGAACCCACGGTCGCAGCAAGCAACTACCGAAGGTTTTAACGATCAAAGGCGAGAGTTTCTAGCATGACACCATCGTCGACATATTCTGACGATAGTTGGACCCACGTATGTACGCGCGAAGCTGTCTTTCGATTGATTAATCTTCGATTGAAGCTTACTTCTCGTTGTACGAGAGATTTTCTCCTGTAATTATAATGGAATGAAGTCGAGATTAGCCGACACGAGGCTCGAGCGATTACGTACGTAGTAGAAAAAGATAACGAACATTAAATGTTTCCAATCGAGCCGATTGAGATTCAATGGCTTGATGAACGGCGTATCGAGATCTTAATTGGCGTCAACTAAGACGCACCGAAGCACGTTTCAATTGATCGTTTGTACAGAGTGTCACAAGAGCGGCCAGGCTCAGGGAGAACACTCGATAGACTCTAACTTTTCGATGTATTCATTTTATAATACAGTAAAGAATGATATATAGCATTCGTATTGAACTTGTGGGTGTTGCTAACGTCCTAACTATCGATCTATTTCGCGTATGTTTGTTGCAGAGGCGCTCGCAGCATCTAGAATATCTATTTCGATCGCAAAATGATATCAACGGATGGCCATCTTATTGCAACGAATATCGTGGGTTTCCTTTTCTTGCAATCGAGAGATAGCAATCCTGCGAGAATGTCAAGCAAGTATTTGTTCAACTTAAATACGAAGTGAATGTAAACAACAGATTGATACGTGATCGGAATTCCACTGGCGAGCTGTGTCGACACATTCGAGCCAGCAGTCTGTAGTAGGCGCGACGTACGCTGTGTCGAAACACGGAAAAAAGCGGTGGTAGAAGGATTAGGGCCTTCGTAAGCGGTTGATTATATTATTTATGTAGAAAAGTAGCAGTAATTTGATTGTCTCTGTATCCCAGTCACGTGGCTTTGTTTACCCCCGCAACTTGGTCTTTGAGTTGAACGAACAATAGAAAGTTCATAGAGATTTGACCTTAGGACGGTTACTCAATCAATGTTAACACTTTAATGCTCGCTTGTTTTAGCCGACGCTCAATCCTGAGAGTCCGCGCTCGACTACTATAAAATTCAGCTGGAAGCTGATGGATTTCATCTTATAAATACTTTGCGTTTGAATGCGACGTTTTAATAAAAGTATCAACTTTGGAACGGTGATGTCCTTGTTATGAAAAATCCCTTTTAACCGACGATACAAGGATTTCTTTCGCAAGGATACAAGGATTTCTTTTTATTAAATTAATGAAGGAAGTTTAACGTCTCTGTCGAAGGTAAACGATTGACAGCTGCACGCGAAAGCAGCATTCTATTCGTTGACATTACCGATATCGCGATCCCCGATAAGATTGCTGTAATGTGAACGAAACCGATGCGTCCTGTCTCCGTCGTCCAATGTAGCGATGTTCCTCCAACGATCAATCGACTGTGATAATAACTCGTGTTAAAACCATAGCTTTTATTTGCCTAAACGCAACATTTCAATCGAACGACTAGAACGTTCGTTTGGTATCATCGCGATTACCAAATTAAATTACGAGCAGCTATCCATGTACATCCGGGGTCCAGGAGCTGCGGTGCTCGATTGGGAACATTTTTGGCGGTGCCTTCAAGTTCACAGCCAAGGTCTGTTTTAGCGGAGTGATTGATTAAAAATGTTAACTTGGCCGCAGGGCCCGATCGGAAGAAATCGGTCCAATTGGCTTAAAGCCGGTTCTATGCGCATCGCACTTCTGGGATAAACATTATGGAATCCTCGTCAATAAAAATACGAAAGAAGAAACATTTCAGCAAGTCAGCAGCTGGGTGAAAATGATTCGCTGTATGTTTATGTTTCTATGCGAGTCTATTCTCCTATCTTACAGATAAAGTGTACAAGAGCCCTATACAGATACCGCGAGACGAAACGTGCCCCGGTACTGTAGAAGTTTGGGAACGATCGAACACTGGTCCGATTTTTCCACCGAAAATTGACATCGTGGGATCGTTCCATCGACGAGCATGGAAACAGAATCGACGAAGAAAATCGGTGTCCTTACGAGCGTAACGTGAAATTAGACGGATCGCAGGTGATAAAAAATAATACTGAAACCGTCAGTGCGTCGGCGCCCATGGACGGCTACCCCCTTTTAGCTACTCCCATCGCCGTTGGAGGCCGAGACCAGAGGCTCGAGAGCGAACTCGAAGGCTATTTATAGTAGGGAGCGGCTTCTAGTTCCCACCGCGTGAAAAATCGCGACTGGTTTCCTGCGAGCCGCAGAGAAGGAAAGAAAGAACGAACGAAAGAAAAGAAGGGAAGCGTGTAGTCCGAGCCGAGCGTCGGGGAGGGGTAAATGAAAGGAGGGAAGAATGGAGCAAGCCGGCGGAGAGAGAAAAAGAGAGTGTATGTAACTTGCAAGACGCGGCGTGGAGACGAGAGGACTCCGGGTCTATACTCGTCTCGACTCTACTCGCCTCTTGGCTCTGTTTCGCTCGCTTCAAGCGGTCGCCCCGAAAGGCCTGAAAGCCCTGAAAGGCCGCTGTCCTTGCAAGGGCGCTCCCGTGATCTACACCCGCGGAGGAGGCAAGAAATCTGCGTAGGTATTCGCATCCCCCTCGACGGAATTTCAGGACAGAAATACAAACACTGGAGCTCTCGAGATCGGCTCGAGGCATTCGATTAAGCGTCTCGGACGCACCACCACTCGTCTCGCATTGCTGCTGACAGTTTTTGCCACGGACAAACGTAAAGAAAGACGCCTGTTTATCGCTGCTATCAGGGGTAGTTCACTTAGGCTTCGTTTAGACTTTACGTTGGTATTGAACAGTCCTGCAGGCTGATAAAATTCGGTCCTATTTAAAAGTATTGCGCGAACAGCCTTCCAATTGGGGGATCTCCCTCGAATATACGCAACGAGCGTGTTTACACTGACTACATGCGATCTAAAATCAGAAATAATATTGACAGGTGTTAGAGAAGAGTTAATAAGCGACTCGATACGTGATGCATTAAATGAAACGAGTTAAGTAGAGGAATTCTTTTCGCTTCCTTTTACTAACCGTGGCCACGCGCGGTTTCCTCCTGGCAACGTGACCATTATACGAGTTACTTTGTAGTATTATACCGTTCAATCTGTTTCATTGGAAACGATTTTGTGGCGAATTTCTGAAGGGCGTTTATTCTAGGAGCACCTATTTCAGGATTTCTTCAACTTTCCGAACAATAAACAACTGTTTGGACGCGATTAATCATTTCTTTCCGCCAGGACTTAATTAACTTCGATTTGTCCTTTATGAACTTCACGGTTCTGGAATAAAAAGACTTTCATGTTACTGTCATGGAGGATACAATTAATTTGTCAATTAATTAGTGAAAAGATTGCTTCCTTTGATGTATCGTATTCAAGGTACTTGCAATTCCATGTCGAGCTCGTGGCATACACGCAGCAAGATTCATCGCTTCTTTTACATTGCTCTGTTGACGTAAATGTTTAAATTATTATTATCCGGCGATTAACGGCCTATCTCGCGGGACGAAATAGGATAAATGTACAAGAATAGACGCCATTCGAATAGAAATCTCTATACATTGCGCAACATTCCTAGAAATACGACGCGCGAAGCGGAGTAATTTAACTGCTCAAAATGAGAATGCAAGGTGAAGTATCCTATTTTAGAATTCGATTCGCTACATTTCATATATTGCACTTCATCTAGAACAATACTCTACATGGCAATAGATTCACATTCATTTTTCGGCATACGTGTGTTTGGTTGGAACGAAGAAAAATTGTTAATTGTTAACGCGTTTTATATGCAATATTAAAAATTCAAGGTAAACAACAAACAATTTGTCGAAGAGATAACCGTAACGCGAACGCTTTACAAACATTGCTGATGTATAGTGTCGTTCATGGATAATATCGAGTGGCTTAAAAGTTAGATATCGCGAAATTTGTCTTCTCATTAACATGTTTACGCGTCGATACACGTATTATTTATTCTCACGCGAGGCGTACATTTCTAAAAGAGCAACTTTAATATTCGCAATTCTCACTCTGTCGTAATTCTGCCAAGGATGAAATAATCGAGGTGCACAAGCATCAAACCTGGTTAGCAAGTACAAAGTATAAAGTTCATTTGCTTAATTTGTTACCTTTATATTTGGACACTTGAGTATACGACGCTACGCGTAGCCTATAATAAGTAAGATACGCCTCGCGAGAACAGTTCTGTGTAAATACGCGTACACGTCACTGACTGAAAAGATTGGACGTAGAAGCAAAAGTATTTCATTTGACGTATGTCAACATGTAGTTTTTCATAGGGTGAACAAATATTGTTTCACGATACAAATCCAAATATCGGACAGACTTCAAGAGTGGATACAGTTATACTTTTTACGATTCAGAAGAATGTGTTGAACAATTCAATGTCACAGACATTTCGAGCGAGATGTTTCCATAATGTTTACGCCTCGTCGTAGAATATTCTCCCGCGTGTATTTTGTACCGCGCGCGTGCGCGTTGTCGATCTCAGCAAGCAGACGCCCGGTGCAATATTCACGTGCCAGTGACCCAGATTATTTAAGAGAAGTGATCAATGATATAATTACAAGTTTAACGCGATATCTCTCGCCAATGCTACTTAGCTACGCGTCTAACGTGCGGTTACTAGTCGCTGTCCAATCGATGACTGCAACAGCAAATTGTTCGTAACAGTTTTTTATTGTTCGCCAAGTTAACCCGGCGACTACTCGCCGGCCGGTCGAGTACAGTTAATCGATAAAGCGTAACGAACTGGAAAGTGACGATTCCACGACAGGTGAAATCGTCGACCGTCTTCATCGCACGCGAAACGATAGTCAGCAGCCTTTAATACCTGTCTGTCTGTCATGTGATTGCAGATCTCTCGGGGATTCTCTCACGAGGTTTTACAGTACACAGCAAAACGTCAAAAACACACGCGAACAGAGCGGAGGACAGGTCGAAGACCCTATGACGGTACTGAACGCTTTCCAAAGCCATCGAAAGATGGCGACCCTAGCGATTTACGAATTATCGAGCATCCATAGATGCGTAATGCACATAGAGACTGTTAGAGCGCCCTTTGAACTCTACAGGCATGCATTTTTAGAAGCAAAGAGCCATACTCTCATCTAATAACAAATTTCGTGTACTTCTGTACACTTGAAACTGGATGTACTTCTTCTTTTGGCTATGTTAATGTCAAATTGTTAATATCTTCTTGTTTCAAACGTTATCACCATTCGAATTGAATGAAATTATTCGTTCCTGAGGACTGCCTCCTATCAACATCATAAACTACTTAATAAAAGTGAATGATCTGTTGTACTCCGTGGGTTGTACAGGGCGAATCACGTATTTTGTCCATCTTCGGTACTTTCATTGTTTGTGGAATTATCTAAATTTCAGATAATTTGCTTTTGGACAGACTGTGTCACATTTGTTTATGATCAGTCGATGAATAATTAATATAAATCGCGATAAAAAATGATTTAGATGACTCGACCAGTGTCGAAAATGATCAGGAAGGAACGAGTTACACGGCTCATCCTGTATACTTACACTTGACCTCTTGCCAAGTCTCATGCTCCCGCGATTGATTATTGATTCATGCAGACGATATTGTTTGATAGCATGGAGAGAAGTGCATGATTGCGCATGGCATTGTTAGTTCGAGTAAACCCAATTGAGTCGAAACAAGATCGATGCTCCCGTAAAGGTTATACGAATTATCTAACGATAGATGCAAATTTCTACTGATTGTGTTTTACATTTTCATCGCGATAACGTTACATATCGTGCTTCACATCGTACGTCTTCACTTGTATTTAAAATAATCGTTTCGCGTGAGTATACAATTTTTAAATTAAAATCAAGTAAAATTACGTTTCATTTATTAAAACCGACAATGGTTTACCTCCAAGCCACGGTAGTTATTGAAATCGCGTTGCAAGCACGCAACACGTGCTTTGCCCCTTTCTTTTGCATAGGTTAGCATACGAGCTATCTCGCTGCAGTTTAGTATATGTAATTCGTACCGTAATGCTTTGACATGGAACGCTACCAGCTCGACTCGAAACGATTGGCATTGACTAGTGACAAACGCGTAATCGCCCTCACATTAACAGTACATGCTCTGAATGGGACTAGAGTCTGGTTGCGCGACAACATCCCGATAGAGTCGTCAAACGCGTCTTGCTCTATACAAAGAGTTACTGTTACAACTATGTTTACGTAGTACAATTATTAATAAGGATATACCAAGTTTTCTTTCGCACTCCAAATAGTTTTTACAGTAATTCAATCGAAAACTTTTACTTCTAACGTTCAACGCGCCACCATACGTTGCAGTTTTAATCGCAGCTTTCTCTCGTATCGGTAACATATCGAAGCTTGGTCGATAAGTAAACTTTCGACAAGGAATTATTCTAACCTACTGAATATTTTTCCGAAGTAAATAAATAAAGGTTAAAATATAAAAATAAATCTTCCTTTGTTACGAGCTTACGAGAATGGTGCTTACGAGGGATAGAGAAATTTACTTCCTGTTTTTCTTCTCGATCATGTCATTGCTGGACGATAATGACACAAGCCCTGTATATCATTTGCATCTGTAATGCACCTCTACAAATGCACTGTAACTAGAGATTCGTTCAAGTACAGTAAAATAAAAAATGATAAGTACGTAATTGAACTTACTTAGATCGCTAATTCGATGAAATTTCGACCCCTCGATCATCGATTATACGTAACCAAGTCTCGATCACGGAATCATTTCGGTTCGAACAGCAAATCATTCTGCCAATTATTTCAATTCTTTTTATCACATTGTTTTAACGTCGCATATCATGTTACATTTAAAAAAAAACACGTTTAAAATGGTAACGATTATTTCGACACTATCGATCAGGAAGAACGGTTTTTATCGATATTGAGATCGCGCTTCCCCGAACACGTATCGATTATATCGATAGATTTCCGATTTTGTTCGAAGCCACGAGAAATATCGAGACTGGATAATCTCGATCATTGCACGAAACACTCGACGCCATGTTTCCTAACGATTTTCGTACATTTAGGTTGTTTCGCCGCTCCCGTTCAAATGTTCGCACACGTTTAACTGACAATGAAATGGAGCTTTGTAATTTCCAGGTCGTGTGCACCTATCTAGAGCGGGTACGAAACAGATGTAGCCAAGGACGCGTCGAGCACAGACCGCTCGTAATTTTGTATAATTCACACTACTCATCACTAGTGTCATTAATATCCGGATAAATCGGACACCCAGACCATCTGTCTATTACTCGAGAGAGAATAAAAACTGTTTGTGTACGTTTTATCCACGTTGCGATTCCAGTATTTATTACTTTCTCTGGCAATTTTTGATGACTATCTCTCGTTTACTCATTTTTTGGTAGTGAGGTTAGGTAATAAAAGTTCCACAGCATTCGCCATACATATTTCCGTTAATAATCGAATAGGGTCGAATACTCGAGTACCTAGGTACTACCTAACTCAAACTCTGGCTCAAATCAATAAATCGTGCCTATACGAAAGTAGCACATTTCGAGTATCCCACGTGGTACCACCGCTACATGGGGTTACCATTGTATTATTCTATTAAAAAAATTTATTTTTAAATTTAAACGCAATCGAGGAGATCATCTAATCGAAGTGGCTAATTTTGGAGAAAAATCTAATCCCTTCGACTACTTCACCTCGTATCAGATTAATCTAGCAAACCATCACAGATATGCTACTTTCATTATCTCGAGCTCAATTGCTATGTGTAGGCCCTGCCAACAAATTTAGCAACCCTATTTTATCATGTTATTTAAAAATACAGATAAGAAGAACTTTAAACGAAGGCAAGAAATGAAAGACAGAATGTTTTCTATTGTCGCGTGTGCAGATTTGAACTATGGAGGGTAGAGAGATAAAAGGAGGACAAACTCCATGTGTAGAAAGTGTCTCTCTGTTTTCAGATCTCTGATATCAGGTGGCGCTGGGAATATCGAGAGGAGAAATTTGAAGGCGCGCAAACTGTGAGAGTAGTACAAAATTAAAGAAAACAGAGAACCATAATTTGTCTTTTTCAACCAAGTTCTGATTGTACTGCGCATGGCCATTTTACAAACTGAAATTCTATATTCACAACCTGTCGTTTTTCAGTTATCTACTAAACGAATCATCCAGTTTTAACATTCCTCCTTATCTCTACCCTCCATAATTTAAACTAAGGGTTGCGGAAGTGGCGATCCCTACCGAAGATCAACGAAACGGTTTCGGGCGAGCTATCGATTCCAACCGAAGATTCGCGGAAATAACCGAGGTCGCGAATGTGACGTATGTACGTCAGTCAGTGTGTGGGCCGACCCGCGTATCGTCGGTAGAGTTCTGTAATTTTTTCCGATTCGCTGTCTCGGGAAAGGATCGCTAACATCGCGACACGCAATCATGAATTTCCTTTCGTAAAGTCGTAGGAGGATTAGCGAGCAAGGGAAGCGGCTCACTGTCGTATGTTCGTACAACTGCCGTGAGAAAAATTCTTGCTCTTATACGTGTGCGTTAGGGCCCCGATCAATCTTCAAGTTCACGACCCCGCGCTTATTTGGTTAATTGGATTTATTCGTGATTGAATCCACGCTAAATTGAAAGCGTTACCGACAATTCTTCTCTCGTGAGGTATATCTCGAGTCATTCCTGATAGGATCGATCACCGTGACCTAACCTTGAAACCATGAATTCCTGTTCGACTTTCTAGCCAAGTTTTCGTAAAAAGTCACGTTTGCTCTTTCCTTGCAGATTTAACTTGGTGGTCACCCGCGGGTGAACAGAGATGGCCACCCCGCAAACTCCCGGTAAGTCACGTTTTCCTTTGTTCACAAGGAAATTTAGAATCATGTCTTGATCTGTCATGTTGACAGATCTATTGAGGAACAACAGAACCTGCCAATGATTTCTGATTTGTTAAATGTTATTGATTAAACAATATACTGTATTCAAACTACGACTGCTTTGGTTTAGAAATAATTAATTGTGAAAGGGATAAAAAGACAATTTCATTTCTTTTAGATATGGATCATTGGGTGGTCCAACCCATGGAACGCGCTAGGTACAGGGAACAGTTTGAGTCTTTAAAGCCCATCAATGGTGTTGTCACAGGAGAGCAAGCAAAACAATTTTTGCTCAAGTCTCGGCTTTCACCTGCCATCCTTGGTGAAATATGGTATTTGTATTTTGTTTTCATAATTCTTTAACATATGTTTTTGTTTTGATAAGTATCACATTTATAATACCATGTGTTATTGCTTCAGGGCTTTATCGGATACAGATGCAGATGGCAAGATGGATATAAATGAATTTAGTATTGCATGTAAATTAATTAACTTAAAATTACGTGGCTTTGAGATTCCTAAATCATTGCCACCTGTTTTGGTGCGAAGTTTGAAATTGCTTGCTGCTAGTGAGTATAAGAATCCATGTAATTTGAGTACTTACTGTGATAAACAATCATAGTTTTGTTCTATTTATCTTTATATCTTTTAACATTTACTTTTGACTAGGTGAAAGTAGCGCAACAAATTTAACAAATGGGGCTGCCAATATTCCACAACAGAATAATGTTGCATCTTTAGTGAATTTAACTGGTCCACCACCGGTACAGGTGCAACCCTTAATCGGTGGAATGCCCATGGCTGGATCCGTTCCACGTCCTCTTATCGGTCCTCCGCCGACAAATGGGCCGCTACCTGGACACGGTATTAGACCCGCTTCGCCAATGACGTTACCAGGTAATTAAATTTGAATTTTTATGCTTGAATATTTGAAAAGTGTATACAATTGAGTACATATCGTGAAAATAATATAAATTACGATAGGATTCATCTAGATCTTTCCGCTAACGTTGACTATTATATTTCACAACGAATACAGTTGTGTCTTAGTTGACTGTACAGTTGATATTTTCTATAACAAGTAAATTTTACTGCCACATCTGGATCAGAGCGACTTCTATCGCGTTACAATGGCTATTTCAATAAAAAAAACATATCAACTAACGAACAGCATTATTTAGCATTACTTTACTTATGCATCATACTACACAGCATCACGACAAAGTAGACAGAATGTGGCTGCCACTACACATGCCACAACTCACACAGCGTCAAAGCCACCTGCTCGACCTGCACCACCCTCTGTGGGTATGTTACAAGAACTGGATGTTTGCGTACGAATTATTATATCTGGGTTGTCTTCTACTCGATTCTTTTCTTTGAGGCTTCTCGAGATGTTACTCTCTTTTAAAGCATAGTTTTTTTTTTATTGAATGGTATAATCACCGATACGATACGATACGATGCGCTATGGTACATGCCTCCGAATTTTAAATACAAACTCATTTTTGCATGAGAAATACATTACTATATTTTAATTGTTTTCAGTGTACTATGTTTAATGTGACTTGTAATAGAGATATAGATTAATGGCAGCTTAAAAATTTGTTAACAATTACTAAAACAGAATGCTATAGGAAATGCGATACGACGAAACGTTTATACGAGTGCATATAATAATCTATTTGTTATCGTCAGAGTGGTTGTTGTATTATTTTTTACACAATGATATATTCTATCGGATACTTATTACATGATATGAATGTAGGATCATGAACACATTTATACTTTCATGCTTTATGTTTGTACATATGCCTAATAAGGATTTATTATCTTAAAATATATTTTAAGTGGAATATATTACCAATATGAAATTCTTGCTATTGTAAGTGTATGTTCTAATTTAATTCTATGTAAGTCTGTATCAGTTTCGCAATGGCTTTGTTTATTGACTACATATACATATGCATATATACATGTTTTATTCTGCTATTTCTCTAATGTGTCCGCTCACGCCTATACAACATCTATACAATAATATAATATTTGTGCTGCAAAAAAAAGGAATCGTGCCTTCTGCAACTACTACTACTACTACTACTACCACTACCACCACTCCTAGTGGTGGTCCTCCTCAAAGACCTGCACCGCCTACGAATATTGGTATGTGTGAAGGAGTATAGGCGATTTGAAAGGATAGATACCATTTTTTTCAAACTCTGATAGATGAAACAGCATGTAAACTTAGATAATAGTTTCCTGTTTTTTATAATTAAATTTTACAATAAAGAAATGATTCCTTTTTACATCGTATATCATTACAACGAAACACTTTACGTTGGAAAAGATCATTCCACCGCATAACATGTTCGACGCATATGTGTAATTATAAATTAATTTTGTATTTATCGCAAAGCTTTTGAGTAATTGTAGCTTGGATTTTTAGACTATTATTTTCAGTTTTCTAATATGTATTAATTTTTATCGATCGTTCTGTGCCGCACTCTATGCAGTCAAATTAAAATAATTTAATTTTTTCCATAAATAATCGACGTTATATTATTTCAGGGGCAAATTTTTCACCTGCAATCAGTGGTCCTCCCCCAAAACCTGCACCACCTTCGTTTCCTAATAGCCCTGTTGCGGCTGGAATTTCACCAGTTACAGTTCCACCTATATCTGCCACAGCAATTGTTCCACCAGGTCAGCCGATACAACCAATGGCTACAGCTGCCATAGGTAACGATTATTTCTTATACTTTCGTTTCATCTTGTTTATTTTTATTTTCAAGCTCTATTCTTTATTATACAGACACATTAAGAATAGGTAGTCTACCAGGTTGTCAATGACGATTTATTCTTTCTTTACAGATTTACTTGATCTTGAGTTACCAGGTACACTAAACACACTAACACGAGTTTTGTAGAAATTATTATTTTATTATTTTTCATGTGCTTTTTGTTAATAAGCTTTGATGAAAATTTGATACTTATTTTTGCGAGATCACGCTAGCCTTAACAAATGTGTAATTTACATAGGAAAACGTACAACATTGATACAACACTAATTGCGTAGACAGCCAAAGTATGTTGTTGAAGTCACTAACTTCAAACTTAAATGATTTCTTAATGCTAACCCCTTAATTTTTTGTGCAAACAATTGATATTTGCGAATAAGTAATTTTAATGGAATCTATACTTTTAAACAGGCATGTCCACAGGAGCTCCAATCGCACCGTTAAATACAAATCCAACTCCAATTGCCGCTTTTGGTATGGGTCAAGCAATGCCAATGCAACCATTAGGTCCTGGCATGGTTGCACCGATTACAGTTGGCTCTACTATCGTACCATCTGTTGCGCCAATACCTACTGGTACTACAGAGTTTAATAATTATAATTTTATTCAATTGAAGTTTCAACATTGATCTGTATACTGTCTGTATTTTATTAGGGGCTGGTGTAGTAGCAACTCCTCCAGCCGTAGGTTTACCATTAGCGTCAGCACCCACAGTGAGTGGTACATTAGTAAACGGCGTAATTGCTCAAACACCCGTTTCCACAAGTACACCAGTGAGTACAACAGCGCGCCCACCAAGTATAGATAGAGTGGGTTCGATCGATTCCCAGCATAGTCAGCATTCAGTTGGATCTCCACAGCCTGTAGAATGGGCTGTACCTCATCAAACAAAATTAAAATATACTCAGTTATTCAATATTTGGGATAAGACACGGTCTGGATTTTTGTCTGGTCCTCAAGCTAGAAATATTATGGTACAGTCGCAGTTGCATCAACGTGTGTTGGCAGACATATGGTACTATAATCTAGTCGTATATGTTGAATAGTTATTACCCAAATGATAATTCCTAGCGTTTCTATACAATGTGATTGCACTATTAGGGCGCTAGCGGACATGGACTCGGACGGTCGTTTAAGTTGCGACGAATTTGTATTAGCAATGCATTTATGTGATGTAGCTAAGCTTGGCGAGAAGATACCTACTACTCTTCCGATAGAGCTTATTCCACCTGCGTTCAGACGTCAAAGACAGAGTAGTTTGACCCTTCCGCAAGCTGGAACAGAGAACATGGATCCATCAGCTGGTATGCCACAGGTAAGTTCAATTTTTGCTCGAGTCTCTATTTTAAAAACTGTTTTATATGTATATCACGATATATTTTTTTACAGACGTCCTTCGAAGATAAGCGTAAAGAAAACTTTGAGAAAGGACAAGCAGAATTAGAGCGTAGGCGTAAAGCTTTGTTAGAAATTCAACGTAAAGAACAAGAGGAACGCGAACGAAAAGAGAGGGAGGAGGCTGAAAAACAAGAGAAAATCAGGTAAGCGAATTTTCCTTTACGTTAAAGTGTTCTTGTATTAATAATAAATTATTATACAGACTGGAACAAGAGAGACGTAGACAAGCGGAAATTGAAAAGCAAATGCAAAGGCAAAAAGAGATCGAACAGGAAAAAGAAGAACAACGAAAACGAGTGCACGAGCAAAGGGAAGCTGCGCGAAAGTAAGTTAAACTTTTGCTGAACAGATATTCTTTAAATTAACAATTTACATTATTTCACAGAGAAATGGAGAGACAACGGCAATTAGAATGGGAAAAACAAAAATCACAGGAACTTCAGGCTCAGAGGCAAAAGGAACAAGATGTATTGCTTAAGTTAAAAGCAAAAAATCATACCCTAACTATCGAACTCGGAACACTTGTAAGTATCAAATACTAATGCACTACATGGTCCGTTACGTGCAATCTGTATTACGTAATTTGTTGTATAATTTGTATAGAACGATAAAGTAAAAGAATTGTCGCAAAAAATTTGTGACACCAGAGTAGGCGTTTCTGGCGTGAAAACAACGATCGATGGTATGCGGTCGACGCGCGACGCACAATTGCAAGAGATGGCTGCCTTAAAAAATAAACTCCGCGAACAAAACCAAAGATTGTTGACTTTGAGTCAAGAGAAAGCTCGTATTGAAGCAAAGAACAAGATGAATTCGGCTATGGAATCCGCGAATCAGGAAGCTATCAAAATAGCGTTCGACAATAAACAAATTACTCTCAAACAAATGAAAGATAAGATTGCTGACTTGCAACAGCAGGTATGCGCGAATATATCTTGTACTTCTTGTATCTTCAGAGTTAGGGCATCCTAAATCAATTTCGTAATATAACGTTTATATCGATAGATTGAAACGAAAATGGCCGACATCGAAAATAATAATGGCCAGCTACAAGATGTCAAAACGCAAATAAAAAATTTGACAACCGATTGTAAAAATCTTCACGTTTCGTTCGAAGATAAGAAGTTAAAAGTGTTAGAACTCAGAGGTAGTACTGGAACTACCGACTACACCACGTCCGCGTGGGGCGACACTGCTTGGAATGACACTACGGGAGTAGTTAACGACTGGCCTGTCGATGATGTCCCTACGACTAACGAAGTCGAAGAAATTACTCCAGGAGTCATGAAATATAGGGCTCTCTACGAGTTTGTGGCCAGGAATCAAGATGAAATATCATTCCAACCTGGCGATATTATCTTGGTAATTATTATCAATGTTCGTGAACGTAGTGAGCTAATATGGGACCATTTCATACGATCCAACTGAGAATTGACTTGCGTTTGAAACAGGTGCCGCCTGTTCAAAACGCAGAGCCAGGATGGATGGCTGGAGAAATTCGAGGACACACCGGTTGGTTCCCTGAGTCTTATGTAGAACCAGTGGATGTCGGAAGCGGAACTGAGAATGCTTTTGTACAGCAAGATAGTGTTGAAAAGAGAACCCTAGAGTTAGTAAATTAAACGCTGGTTACACTTTATCAATGGAAAATTTATAATTATTATATTCCTATCTCGTTTTATTACAGAGGTATCGCTGAAGTCCCCGAGAATGTATCCGACGCGGGATCGCTAGGTGGCGAACCTCCCGCTGTTGAACCGATCGTACCTACCTTTGGATTGGGTGTAGCTTGCGATATACAAGTAACAACTCTGTTTCAGTACCGCCCTACAACAGAACAACATCTTCCCTTTGAGAAAGGAGATATTATTAACGTCATTGAACAGCAGGTTAATATAAATTGGATATATATGAATCATTCTATCATGTGACCACGCTTACATTCAAGATATCAAATGATAATCATTAATCAAATAGGGTGATTGGTGGTATGGTACATCTAGTACCGAAGAGAAGGGTTGGTTCCCCAAATCGTACGTCAAAGAAATTACTTCTAATCAAGCCGCGGTGGTCGAAGGCCTCAACGAGTACCACATGGCTCTGTATCCGTATACTTCTGCCGAATCAGGGGACCTAACGTTTAATCAAGGCGAAATTATATTGGTTACTAAGAAGGAAGGCGATTGGTGGACAGGCACTATCGGAGATAGGACCGGGATTTTCCCTGCCAATTACGTAGAAAAATGTGATGCCCCGGATCAGGTATATAAATCGCGTGTTATGTTTTTCTATTATTGTTCTAACATAAGGAGTTTGCTGTGATCTTCATATATGTTACAAAAAGTAGTGATATCTTTAAAAAAAAAAAACTATGTGTCAATTTTTAAATTCTAACATCCTGCATAACATCGATCAGGGTGCCCCTGTAGCTACTAACGTGTCCGAAACAAACGTGACTACTACGATGCCCGCAGATACAACCACGAGTAACATCGAAGCAGAGGTTTCAGTTGTTCAAATACCATTGGTTTGTAGTATTCTCTTTTTAACAATACCACTTTATAGTTATTCGAGAAGCGTATCGATTAATCCTCCTGTGTTGTAAACAGTATTTGTTATATGTGCTAAATAGACTTGACTTCGCACGCGTACCATTAACAATTAGATTGTAAAATGTGCAATAAGCTAGACGTGCGTATATCCATGTTTAGCAAGCGACAAAAACTGCTGAGCAGCTCGAAGATGAAAGAGCAGCCGCAGAAGATAGAGCAGAGCTGCCAGATTTTACTGCAATGGCTTCACAGCAGGTAATTAACATTACATTCGCTTATCGTGTACGCGAGACCTTAGAATATACGTAAAATATTTGTGGTTTGACGAGATTTCATTGCTTCTTATTTCGTCCCCATTGCTGCCAACCTGCTATCGCAGTATTATAAGGTATTACCTCTTATAAAATACATTTGCTGATTATTTTATTTCACGATTTGTCTTTAATACATTTATCTTACAGCTTTGTAAAAAATAATTCGAATTTGTTAAATAACGATAACAATCGAAATGTAATGTATATTTTCTTTAACACAGCGGGGAAGGAAACCTGAAATCGTACAAGTTATCGCACCGTACCAAGCCACTAGTTCCGAGCAATTAGATTTACAGAAAGGACAGTTAATAATGATACGCAAGAAAACGGATAGCGGTTGGTGGGAAGGAGAATTACAGGTATAACAATTGATACTTAACATATTTTTGCAATAGTTTTAACACTATGCCATTTTTATAGGCGCGCGGTAAGAAGAGACAAATTGGTTGGTTCCCCGCATCTTACGTTAAGGCTTTGACCAGTAGCAATCGAAGTACACCCATTTCCCATGGATATCAAGAATCTCCCACAGATCCAAGTGTTGGTAAGTAGTTTTTATATTTTACCATATTTACTAAATAGAACGAACAAGATGTAATAATACGATTTACTTTGTCGATACAGAACGTGTTATGGCGTTATACCCGTATCAAGCACAAAACGAAGACGAATTGAGCTTTGAAAAAGGCGATGCTATAATTGTGCTTGCAAAAGACGAAGAAGCATGGTGGAAAGGCGAGTTGAACGGCGCGTCCGGTGTATTCCCCAGTAATTATGTATCTCCCATGTGTAAGTAATTTTTATTTCATAGTATCACGTTCGATTTGACGAATTCAACAATGAATTTGTTTTTAAGTAAATATAATTATTTTAATACCAATCACAAGTGTTTATAAGACACAGTTTCAAATTAACTGTATAGCAACGTAAGGTTATAAAATTTGCGCAAACCTATGAAACGTTATTGTTGTTAGTATAATTTCGATCTGTGATACACGGATAGACGGAAGGACCGTCAGGTTTAATTATTGTTAGTAACTAAAAGATAGAAGTAAATTGATGGTATTACTAAAATATGGTAATATAAAGTACGATTTATTACGACGGTCGTTTAGTAGAACCAGATAAATAATAATCTAACTACTAGTTAGCTCTGAAAAAATAATTCTATTATTAGTAAAATATAATTATGTATATTTGGTTATAATGGCATTGTTTCAATGTATTTTAATGAATAGATATTTTTATATGTGTCATTGATGTAGACATACTAGTCGTGTTAACGATACTCGTATTGGAATAGATGTCTTTTAACTACAGGTTACATGCATAAATAAGAGTATCAATATCAAGTACATCCAACATAATTATGCTATTAAATCCTGTTCCGCTAGATATGAACATCTATGGTTTATAAGAAATAATTTTAATTGGTGGCAGTTAGATAAAAATAGCGTGTATCTTTCAATGATTATTGTTCACAACGGGTGTCGTGTGTGCTTTCTGCTCTGACATGGCTACATTAAAAACAGCACTTTAGCTTGGAAAGCGGTACATCTTTAGTGTACAGTAATTGTTGTTTCATTTCTGGTCTATTTATACCTGGTAGTTTGCGGTATAAATGATTAGAGAAATATACTTTCTCTATCATACAGCCTGCCTGTCTGCCTGCATGCCTGCCTGTCCGTCCGTCTGTCCGTTTGAGGTAGCTACTTCGTGCCACTGTAAAATATTTGACAGATATAGTACACATAATCGATAAATCCGTATAAACTGAACATATTTTATAATCAAGATCATTTGCAGCACTATAATTATCATTATTTACGGTTGCGGTAATAATGTATACTTTTTAAATTGTTGAACGAATAATTTCATTCAAAGTATATTTTAAATAATTATTATTTGCTGTTCTTGTAAACTTGCATCATTGAACTTCCGTGAAGTTTTATTTTATAAAATTCTTAAACAGATTAATTATAATATTAACATTACCAAGTATTTGTATTACAAAATGAAATAGCTACTTCAAGCAATCGAAACATCTATCGTTTGATACAATATCTGGAATCCTTTTTACTAATCGTTATCTTTCGCCTCTGCTTAATATGCAGCATAAAGGATAGCAGAGCAGCACCGCAGCATTGCAGGCTAAAATAAAATCATCTGAAGTGCAATAAGAATGATAGCAGACTCTACGCTCACCACGACGTGTTACAACACCAACAAGTCTCATCGGTGGAGACAGTGAGCATAGAAATGAGAAAAAGAAATGTGAAAGAAAGACTCAGGGGGCTGGTTCTTCGTTTCTATATTGCCCTGAATTTTACAAGCCTTTTTCTTCTGGTGCGGGGTCCTACTCGTTCCTCTGTTTTTCATTGTCATTCAAATTGTTACCATGCGTCTTATCGGCCGTTGTCCTTCAAACTATCAAAATCTCTATGTATGGCTCCAACGGAAACTAATAATAGCGCATTATTTATAAACATGTTCGTAACACGAGAGCGCTAAATATTTAATGACAAGTTGTATCGTAAGTATGATTACGACCACCTGACGTGTGCACCAAATTCTACCTCAACCCTCGACTTTAATCCAAGACAGAACTTAAAAGTCGACGTATATAATTTGTTTATTCGACTTAGAATAGTATCTAGTACCACCAATGCTTAATATGTCGATCGAATATAAATTTGTTTAAGACGTTCTATTTTTAGAACAAAGTCCAACTGCAGTTTTTGTTTGTACTAGCACTTTCAGCCCGGAATTTTTTATTTTTTATAGGTAATGTCGTTTCTCGTATAAAATAAAAATTTTGCAAAATATGCTTACATAAAAGCGATTACATTGGATGATAGAACTGTAGTAGAACGGAAGTACTTTCTAGTAGGAGCAAGGACAATAAATATCGAAGTATCTATGTGTAAAACATTTATACTATATATTTAAAAATATTTGAGCACCTTTATGTGTAAATAAAAAAACATACGAACACACTAAATTTGCAATAAATACAAATTATTTGTAAAAGTAGCTAACGTCGGGCTTAAAGTGTTAGGCCAGTGGAAAGTAGATACTCAGATTGTTAATAGTAATCCTGAATTTTCGTGATCAGTGCCCTTGAAAGAGATTTTAACATTGGGAAATGTTCAATGTTGCATCTTTTTTTTATAAGCACTGTAGCATATCATTTGGTGCGCAATACAGATGGTTTGTACAGTTATAACACTGCGCCAAGGCCTAGTGCAAATATTTCACAGCACTTGAATTGTGAGCAACCAAACATCATTTTTCTGCTTGCCTTCAATGTAAAAGGAGAAGGAGTTGTTGAATAATCGCTAGTTGAATATCCTGTTCAAATGATCGCTTTACCATATAAAATAGGTGAAGAATCTGTTACGATGTGTAATAAATACTTCAGCAGTCTCGAAGTTTTGAATAATCATACAGTTTATACTTTTATTTAAATATGAAATTTTATTGTAAGCGTAGAAATCGAAAAAAAAGATAATATTCTTGTGTAATATCGACAAAGAGAATGAAAGTATTGCTCTCTTTTAAATTCAATGTGTTTAACCAAATCTGTTGTTCCTATTTATTTATTCTATATATATATGGTTATTATTTGTTTTTCATTAATCCGTCTAGTAGTACACGACGAAAGGTGATGTACTCCTTCTTCGCAGCCTTTTATTATAGAGCCTAATCATCATTAAAATATCAGTAATAGCAATCATGAAGTTATAGATAGATATTATTACCACTGGTGGGAATGATTTGTTAAGTAATGTTATATTATCGTAAACCAGTTCTTCCATCAATTTACTTCTGAGTACGATAGTTTATGTTATTTAAGAATAGGATACCTAATCATTGTTATACTAGGATGTTACGTTTAACGATTCTTTTTTTATCTTTATTATTTATATTTATTGCTGTAGTTATATGAATCTTGATTTTGAGATACTTAAATACTATGTTATTGATTTATACGATTATATTCGGAATAATTTACGACTTCTGTTAAAAATTTTTTTTACGAAACAATTTGTAGAATATTATACTCCACCGTTTTTTTAGATGATTTAAATTTTGAATTGTGTGAAATAATGTGTAATATTTACCCCCACGAATAAGTATATATATTTTATATATCTAGTATTCATTCCATTGAAAGGATCAGGAACTTGATGGAATAACTAGTTTCGAATAACTGCAAGAACCAAGCGCACAGTTGATCAGCATATTTATACACTGGTTGATCCTTTTACACGTTCTATATGACTCTTTGCAAGAAAGGTGTATAAATATGCCTGATCGTAAGGATGAATATCGTGTGCTTAATATTACATATTCTAGATGCGCCCATAATCTTGTAATCTTTATCTAAACATGTTGATAATGTGTAAAGCAAGTTATGCAACTGGTTATTCTTAGATGAGATACTGTGTAGCGCTACATCCTTAAGATTGTTACTATTTGCAAAATATCCATATTGTTTGGTTGTTGTAATATCGAATCTCGTTGCGAATCTCAATTGCGTATGGGCGTACTTTCGAGCGAAGGAGACTGTACGGGTGTGAACAAGTTCAGATCACTGTGTATTTATTACAGATTTCTGTTCACATCTCTGGTGAATATACTCCAAAATTTTCTCACATGCATATAAACGCCGTTCTTATACACATGTACACATATCCATACATATACAGGCGTGTTCGCAAAACTGCTGATTGAAATAAAGTATCTGTCTGTTGTAAAGTATCGTTGCGTATATTAACTCTGTATTATTTGGAGATACCCAACAATCAATTTAAATAATTACAATATCGTTTTACTAATTACTTTTTGTTTTATAACTTATTTGTTATTTTCCCTTTTTGGATTTCTACATCTCTTAAAACGCTTCGAAGAGAACCTTTGACGGGATGAAAATAATAAGATTCATCTAAGAAGCGGTAATATCAAAATAAAATAAATAATTACATATATTTTATGCATAGTTAATGAGACGACAACTGACCTCGTAATGGGTGGATTGGATTCAATGGAAAGAAAGCGTCAAGAATACATCAAAGAGCTTATTACAACTGAGCAAGCATATATAGAAGATATGAGACTTGTACACGAGGTACTTACAAGTTTCATACAATGATTTTTTTATGTTTTATGTTTTATGAAACTAAAAAATGAAAAACTTTTCACAGGTGTTTGAGAAGCCTCTTATCGAAAGTTTAGTTTTAACTGTAGACGAAGTGGACAAAATATTTGTTAATTGGAGGGATATTATTGCCTGTAACGATAACTTTTTGAGGTAATAATTTAATGTTAATACTGTTAATCTGAATTATTTAATTATTCGTCATTTTTTTTTAGAACATTACGGATACGACGCGATAACAGTGAAGGAGGGGTTGTGAGAATGATTGGAGACATTTTATGCGAAAATGTGAGTAACAGCTTATTCTTATACATATAGCATTTAATTTCATGTTCTATGTGTTTGTGTATTTTAGATACCAAGAATGTCTGCTTATATCAGATTTTGCAGCTGTCAGATATCTGCTGCTGTTTATCTTCAGCGACTGACCGAGACTGTCCCAGACTTTGTAAAAGTTGCGCATACCTGTCAACAAGATCCGCGCACAAAAGGAATGCCTTTAAGTTCCTTTTTAATAAAACCAATGCAGAGAATAACAAAATACCCTCTGATTATCGGCAAAGTATACTTCATTCTTCTATTACTAATTTTGTTTCGCGTTTTGGCTCATGTTTATATATCATAATTATTTTAGATTTTAGAAAACACACCAGTCAATCATCCTGATCAACAATATCTCCAGGAAGCATTGGCTAAAGCAGAAGAATTTTGTACTCAGGTGGCATTTTTAAAATATGGATCCTGTTATTTAAGAAACGAACCTCATAAATATTATTTTAATCTCAGGTAAACGAAGGAGTCCGAGAGAAAGAGAACAGTGATAGATTAGAATGGTTACAAACGCACGTGGCTTGCGATGGTCTCGAGGAACAACTTATCTTTAATTCGTTAACCAATTCTTTAGGTCCACGAAAACTTCTACACTATGGTATACTTCATAAGGTACCTTAGAGTAGAATTTATATTTTCTTCAATTATAAAGTGTTCTTCTCGTGAAGCGATAACTTCTATTCGTGTTCTAGGCAAAAAGCGGAAAGGAACTCGTTGGATTTCTCACAAATGATTTTCTACTTTTCGCGCAACCGTTACTTAACAAAAAATTATTGTATGGACAACAATTTTCATTTGACCGAAATGAACATCAGAAGTTCAAGATGTATAGAAAGGTACTTAATGGTAGTTTCATGTATAGATAACGATACGACGATATTAATTGATGTGTTTCTGTTTTGCAGCCAATATTTCTAAATGAGTTATCGTTCCTAGGAGATTCAGATACAAATGGAAATGTTAGCTTAAATTGGGGTGAGAGTACAGAGAACTCGACTAAAACGCTTAGGTTAAGGGATCAGAACCAGAAGAAGCCGATAATATTGCTAGCACCATCCCCAAGCGAATGTTCTCTGTGGATGAAAAGAATTACAGAAGCAAGAAAGAAATTTTTGGAAAACGAGAAGACCCGATTACAAAGACAAAAATCGAGTGAGTTCAATTTTTATTATTATTCAATATTTTTGTTGATGACCATATGTTTCGTTTGGCGTTATTTGTCCTTGTGTCATGTTAATTTTGTAACTTCGAATTCTTTTTATAATTAAATCAATGGAGAGGATGACGAAGTATTTAAGTGAATCTTACAAACTTTTATATTTTATTATTTACCTTTAGTTGATTATAGCAAATTTGACATGAAATAATATATAATATGTGTGAGTAAACAGAGCAAGCGCAGTTTGGAGCGTGTGGCAGAATTCTCGTTACAGTGCTTGAAGGCTTCAATTTAAAGACAATACCTGGTAAGCGACTATGTAAGCTTAAGGTGCTTGATTACTTCTTTGTGCGCATGCTTATTGCTTGCTTGTTGTTTTTCATTGTTTTCTGCTTAAACTTGTGACGAGAGGAAGCAACACAAAGCCATCAAGAGGAACGAATTCACCGAGTGTCTCCGCTGTCATAATCATACATCACCTAACTGCACGATGCGTTTTTTACTAACAATATTCTGGCATGATTATAGTTCGCAGGAGACGACCCGAGGGCAGACTTTGGTTAGTACTCGAAGAAGCTGAAGATCTTATTATACCCAAGAAAGGTAACAAAATCTCTGCTTGCATGTAATCTCTATTTAACTATAGCATTTCCGAGCAAGTATGAAAATGCGCTGCTTTTCTCTTTCTATAACACATGGACCACTTTAATTACACAATTTAAATTTTAGATGAGTTGTAGATTGTAGTTCTTTGAATCGTAGATGACATTAATATTAATTTAAGTAACATCCCCATCATACATTGGCTTTGAATTTAACAACACATCTTTGATTTTCTGCACGTGCAATTACTAACGCAATTATTAACAGCAAGCACAAGCGTTTTACATGACAATACGTAGAGTATAGTAAGATTAATAGTAACAACGAGAAACAAATAAAAAATAATAACGTTCGTAGGCAAGTGCAATACATTCTGCAAAGTGAGTATGGGTTCGCAAGAAGAAAGAACGGGTGTCGTATCGGGTACCGATTGTCCTATGTGGGATGCATCCATGCAATTTCAAGTGAAGGATTTAGTCGAAGATACTTTGTGTATTACAGTATTTGATAAGGGCTATTACAGCCCCGATGGTAAAGTTAAACTTCGTAATTGTACTACGAATATAATTCTAAAATTATTCAAGAAAATAATTATAATTTGTATAAAATATTATTCTCAGAATTTCTCGGTCGAGCGGAGGTAAGGGTCGCCGACATAAAGAGAGACAGCAGAGACTCGTGTGGACCAATTCAAAAACGTATTCGATTGCGCGAAGTTGAGAAAGGCACAGTCGTATTAAAGTTGGATCTAAGACTGTTTGGAAATCGATAAACAAACATTGTTTACGTTCACAGGTAAACAGCTATGACCGTTGTTTGTCATAGCTGTAAAGCTATTACTGTCAATAGAATTTTTTACATTTCAAATGTATATTTTTGTGTTCGCTATAAAAAGACAACTTCTTGCCTTAACACCTATAAAGAAGTACTCTATAAAGACAAGGAGATTTTTTTATATAACAATATTTATTATACTCTGCAGATATTGCTGAATAAGCTTATTGTCTTGATATGTTTTTTTATTATATGGATATCCGACGCAATTCTGGGAGTTTATTTATAAAATATTTACTTTTGTTTATTTTTCATATTTTACATATCGTATGAATTCAACGAATTACAATGATCTTTAGTCTTTCTTACGGGAAATTACTTAAACTCTTATCGAATTACAGTATTATGTAATAAATGAGCGAATGGTCTGAATGATATACTTGTAAAAATGCAACATTCGTTATTTTAAAGACTCGTATTGTTATTATAATATTTGAAGTTATCGTAACATCCGTAGTAGGTAACAAGAAAGCATTTATTTTTTGTATTAAATATATTGTACAAAATAATAGAGCATTTAAAGAAAGGGGCATTAGTATGAATGAAACAGGGATAGATCGTATAATTTAAGAATGATTTATTACATGGATACTTATCGTACGAGTGCAATTATTAACATAAACCATACTCTCAAGTACGTCAACAATCCTATAATACAGTGTTTCTCAAACTGTGGTCCGCGAGAGGATGAAGTTCGGGAAACGCTGCTATAGCTAAATAAATAGTTTAATGTACATTATTCGCGCTGACTTGGCGTGAAAATGCGTAACATAACCACGAATTTACATATACAAAGTATGACGATGCTCAGGCTATCAATGAGATTTTATAAATTATTATGTAGCTTATGAATAAAACATATAAATTAATATAACGATTTATCGGTGTGATGATTGTTTCAGGTGTTTACGACCCTTTCAATTATATCTAACTGGATTACATGCAAAATAGTGCAAGCACGTCCAATAGCTTAAAAAAGTCTTTACATCGTGGTCATTTAATTATATATATATAAAACATTGTTCTACCAATGAATATAAACAGATTCATTACTGAATTTTACATCCCTTGCACCCAGTTGCATTTAATCCTTTGCTTCGAATACAATGCATGAGATTTATGAAAAAGATTACATGAATATTCAGACTTGTATCGTTAACTTCGATCCCCCCACGAAGACAACAAATCTTCCCAATCACCAATGCACCAATTGTCGAGATATTTAGCTCTCCCTTTACGAGGGTGTTCCAGTTAGCATTACTTCATAAATATTGCGTATCGTACTTCAAACCCATATACAGTAAAACCTCGTTAATCTAGACTAATTGGAGGAAAAGTTCCTCGCGTGTTTAAACAGAAAATGTAATTCCATATAATTAGATGAATCTCTACTTAGCAGATTCAAGATCAAGGTTAGCAAAGGTTTACCGTAGTCCAGGATATCAATAAAAATCAATACTAATTTCATTTTATGCTTTTAGGTAATGCTAATAGGAGCATGGCAACGATCCCAGAAATACTCGAAACTGAGATTATCCTCGTTTAAGTAACATATTTCCTACAAGCTGAATCTACTCCTTCATCAAACGGCTGGGTCAGCGGAATCGCGAAGATGCGTAGCCACCTCTGACCCCGTGTCAACTGACTCCCTACGCTCTAGCCTGTCCACGTCTTCCGTAGGAAATTCATAGATTGGCTTGAACCCACCGAACAGCTGCGGCTTAAAGTTCTCAGGATCGAACTCGTTCTTCTCTGTCTGCGATTCTTCCGCGTCAGAAGTGTCCTCGGACGATCCATGATCGTCGTCGGACTTTCTATTAATGGTAGGCTCCACAACGACCACGCTCCAACCGTTTTTGGAGGGAGCTTCGGCGCTGACGCTAGCGACGAAGGGCGCCATGAAGTTTTGAGGCGACGGCGCCGAGCTGGAGGAACTGGACGGTTGCTGTGACGGTAGTAAGACAGGCTTTTGCTCGTTGCTGTCGTTTCTAGTGCCCTCGTCGCGTACGTCTACATCTAGACGGTGGGACGCTTGCGCTGTTGGCGTGTAAACGTAGGCGATAGGCGTGGACGATGGCAGAGCCGGTGAGCGATGAAGCGTCGCCGAGATGGCTTCGTTTTTCCTCGCAGGAAAAGGTACAAAGTCCTGCAGATAGGGTATAACATTCACGCTGGTGTCTTTGTCCGCCTTTTCTTCGCTGGTTTCTTTCACAGGTTGCTCGTCCTGTCGCTGATCGCTGGGCACCAATAGCGGGGTTTCCCTCATCCCGTTAACAAGAATCGAGGGGTCAGGACGTTCCAGGGGATATGGGAAGTCGGATGCCATGGGTCGTCCACCGAATATACCGTGAATAGGAGGACTCTGTTCTTCGTTCATCCCCTGGTGCTCGTTATTCTGCAACACGGTTCAAAACAATTTAAATTGAATTCTTAAATAATTACGCAGTAACCATAATAATAAATCAAATTACATTTTGTTCGACACTGTCCTGCAGAAGAGTCTCCGGCGGTAGAGGTCTATGGGGACCTCGAGTTCCGACAACCACGCTCTCGTCCTTTTCCCTCGAGTCGTCTGGGTGTATGTTCACCGCTGTGTTAACAGGATAAACCACGTAGACAGGTGGCTCCGCCATCGTTTCTCTTTCGTCGAACTTCCTCCTGTCTGCCTCCTGATCGGTCACGATTCCCTCAGACCCCTCGTTCGCCTCGATAGACGACAAGTTTGACTCCGTGATGTCCTCATCTAGCTCGCCATGGTGTTGGAGCATCTGAAGAGTCGCTACGTGAGGTGGGTCAGCCGTTCTTCGTTTGGGGTACAACGGAGGCCTCGGTGGCACCTGAGGCGGCTCCTCCGAGTAACGATCCAACCTCTCTTCCTCTTCCAACCGCAGTTTTTGGCTAGACAGCCGTTGCGCCGATTTAACCTCGTCGTCACCTCTGGAGGTCGCTGGTATCTGTGGGAGGCGAAATCTCTTGACTGTCGGCTCCACGATTTCCATTGGAGGCACCACGCTTTCGGACTTTGTAGAAGCTGCGACTCTGAGCGCGTGAATCGGTGGCGGAGGGGGATTTAACCTTTGAAGGTATGACGGTGGCGGAGGCAGAGGTCTCCTCGTGGGGGGATGAGACTGGACAGGTTGTCTAACCCTTGGCGGATAAGATTGGCTAGCTGGAATGGTGCCTATCGTTTCAGAGCCACGGTGTCCGTGAGACGTCTTAGCGTTGGGCCTGAATTGTGGCAGGATGTTTGGCAAATTCGCGTCAGGAGAGTAAGGACGTCTCCTTATACTTAGGTCTGAAGGTGGAGGAGGTGGAGGAGGGGTCAGTGGTTGCTTACCACGAGGAGGTAAAGGTAGAGGCGGTCTTTGCGGCCTGGGATGGTCAGGCCTCGCTGTACCGCCGTGATGATAGTGATAATAAAACTGCGGAGGTGGTCTGGGTCGTTCTGCAGGCGGCGTCAGATTTTCCGAAAGCTGTGGAAGATGTTCCTCGTTTGGCACAGGTGGATCTATCCTCGCAGGCTTAATCGTCGTGGAGGAAGACGTGATTTCGTGTACAGTGCCGTCAGCTTCGTTCACGACGACGATGTGCTCCTCGACTGGTTGCTTGGGTTCATCCGTACGGAACACTACGTAATTGACGTTCTTGTCATCTTTCTTGTCGTCTGGCTGTTCTAGAAGTACGGTGCCCATCACGAAGGAGTTCTGAGATCTAGTAGGTTCTATTTCATTTGCCAACTTTTGAGTGGTAGAGGAGCTCGGGTGTCTCCACGTCTGAGCAGCGTAAATGGGGTTGCTGTCCAACATGGACACCGAAGGCAAACCTATGGTTCCATGGTGGTCTTGTGGATCGTAATTAGTCTTGTCGGATGGCAGGCCGTACAGAGGTCTGAAAGACGTATCGATTCCTGTCGAACTACCATAGAGGTTCTCTCCAATGGCTGTGCCCAACGAGTAATATCCACCTTCGACGTTCTGTCTGTTACCAAGGATAAAGGACACCGTGTCCTGATCGGGTGGTATCACTATGTTACTAGTACTCTCTACCAGAATTCCTCCACCCAGTCCGCTTGGTCTCTGGTTGGCGATCGAGTTGGGTCGATAACCTTGGTTAACGATAACGTTATCCGCGGCACCGTGTCTTTTGTTGTCGTTCTCGAAGGCTACTGGAACTCGATGATCGTTGTCCAAGGGCATCGAGGTCACTGGACGGTGAGATGGACCTTGGAACACCAATGGATTCGCTGCGAATGTGCTCTCTTGAGGTTTCGAAGAGGAAGGTGCGAAGGCAACGGAGGTAGGTGTCATGGACGATGAGGCAGGTGTACTGGTTGTTGTAGTAGTAGACGCTGGAGTAGTAGTCTCTCGAGTAGTCGTTGTTATATTACCAACAGTCGACGTTACGGTGGGCAGAGTACTGGTCTTAACGATTTCATTTGTCGACTCTTTCATCGAGACGTAATCTTTTGTATCCTCTTCATCCTCGATCTCGTAATCTTCGTAACCATCGATGTACTCGTCCTGTTTTACAGGTGGCTTCGCTTGCGGATCTCGATTGTGTACGATATTGTTGGTATCACGGTGATTGTTACCGTACATGGAAGCTTGAAGCTTTTCTATTGGAAGAATATCCTCATAGTCGTCCAAAGCGTCCATGAATCGCTTCGGAGTAGTGGTACGGGGCTTCCAGGTGGTTACAACGGGCGCCTTCGTGGAAGTAGTCGTTGGTGGAGGAGTTGTCGTGGTGGTAGTTGTTGTGGTGGTCGTCATCGTAGTCCTGGGAGTCGTGGTAGTACTGGTAGTAGTGGTTGTGGTCGACGGGGGCGTTGTTCTTGGGGACGTAATCACGGGAGCGGTAGCTTTCGGCACGTACGGTTTTCTTGTGGGATAATAAAGAACAGTTTCCCCGTGGTAGGGCTTATGGTTGTAGGTGCTGTAGCTGTTAGACCCGCTCTGGACCTTTGTGTTCGCGTA